ACTACTCCAGCGAAGGCCCAACAGGCCCGGAAGGCCCAACAGGCCCAGATCACAGCACCCAGAGTACCAAGCAGCCCGCACTACGCGCCAGGGGTGCCTTCGGCCCCCTGGCCGAATGCTCTAAACTCTCACAGAACGGGTTTCTCAAGCAAATTAAGAAACTGGGAGAAAAACGGCGAAAACAGTAGCCCTCGGCACTGTGAGCCCTCGGCACCAGGGTGCCATCGGTTGGAGGAGCCCTCGGCTACTGCTCTATAGCCGAAAGCATCTTACTCGACAAGATATCCGCCTCACATGCGTACAGATCACCGTACCCTGCACAGACGTCCCATCCAACAGCCGCATTAAATGCGGCCACATGCGACTGCCAGCGCCAACCAGTTGAGGTGACCCTCGGCCAATGAGCGCTTGACACGTGTCCCTGTCCGGCATTTATTGCTACTATAAATAGTACCCCATTTCCCCATTTGTAACCACGACATTCATACTGAATACACTCTCTCTCTTATTTACTCGTGCTCTGACTTCTCTCTAAGTTATTCCCAGCAATAACCCTTCAGATATATACCCCCGGGTAGACTATCCATCAGTGTGTCACCTCCGTTTTATTCTACTTCGGAACTGAATGTGTAAATAATCATCATCTATAATAAATAATGCAAATAACTTAGAAATATAGGCACTATGATGCATTTACTCACAGTTTCACATAGCGAAACCATTTCTTTTATAATTTGAACACACATTGTAAAATTTAATAACTACTAATTAAGAACATTTGGCATAATTCCATTTCTAATACGATTTTCATCGGGATGAGTCATACCAATATGTGATGTTGATATTATTGCTTCTTTCATAGTTTCAGTGGATTATGTTTCTCCTCAATCTAAAATATAAATTAGTCACCAAAAAATGGTGGTTTTCCCTCGATTTTTTTATAGACATTTTGATGTGGATATGTATATTCCGTACATACAATACAATATTGTGTGTGTCTATAAATGTTAATTAGGTAACATTATCTAAACGTGAACACTTACTTTTATGAGCTGGTTACAGGAATTTTAGTGGAATTCTTTCGATTAAATTAAAATGATTAAATTAATATGAAGTATATAAATATATGCATAATTCTTAGAGTTGTTCGTTCCATTAATAGGGATGGATTCGGGCCGGGTCGGGCCCGGGCCGGGCCTAGGCCCGGTCGGGCCGCCGGTTCGTATCAGATGGGCCCGGGACCGGCCCGAGGGTTGGACGGTTCCGGTTCGGGCCGGGCCACCCGCCCGGGTCACGGGTCGGGCCACCCGCCGGGCCGGGCCGGTTAAATTTTTTTTTTAATTTATATTTTAACTTTATAGTTTTATACAAGTATTAAAAAACAAACTTCAAGTGCATTTATTTGAAATGAAATAGGAACTACATTTGAAAATTAAATAGGAACTATAATTGTTTTTAATCGGAATCTCCGGCATAGGTAGAACCACCCTCTGTAGATTCATCCATAAAGTGTTGAGATGGAGTGATGTCAATTTCTTGAGCTCTACGTGCTGCTTTCAACCAATCGTGGTAGCATATAAGCATCTCAAGAGATTCAGCGCTCAACCTCGTTCTGATTTGTGTTAGAACATTGCCGGCCGAACTAAATTCTTGTTCCACGGCAACCGTTGAAACCGGCATTGATAGCACTTGCTTAGCCATCTTTGCTAAAACCGGGAACATTCTTTCTTTTCCCTTCCACCAGTTTAGTACGTCAAAATCATCATCTTCTTCAAAATCAACATCATAAGTTAAATACAAAGAAATCTCATTAATTGTGCTTTGTTGTGTAGCGGGAGTTGATTTTGTTTTTTTAATAAGATTGGCAAACGTAGATTTGAAAATTGATTTTCTTTTAGATGATGTTTGTGTCGGGGGAGGGGGCGCATTGCCATATTGTGCATGAAACTCATTGAATAATGCATAAAATATATCACTAACCTCGTTGTATTCTTTTTTCGGATCAATTGGGTTGTCCTCATACATTGGCAATGGACCAAAAAAAGCAGCATAATAATAATTCAAACATTCTTCTAAAGAACCAAGTCTAAAACGAGGATCGAGAACAAATGCAATACCATAAATATGCGGAATATGTGAATAATATTTTAAAAACTTTTCCTTCATAAAACCAGCAAAATAACTCACATAATCAGCATTCTCAAAATTTGAAAAAGCACCGGCGAGATTAACAGCTTCACGAATAAATTGGTTTGAGGTAGGTTTATAAACATGACTAAAAGTTTCAGTTGCATTATTAAAATATATCAAAGCATTACAAATTTTTTCACAGGTGTCGATCTCAGCCGAGTTTATAATATAGTTATCATATTGTTTCATAAAAGCAGGAAAATGTTGTTTATATCTAAGAAGAACTCCAATTAACTTATAGGTACTATTCCAACGAATAGACAAATCTTTTGGAAAAGCCACATATCTCTCACCTCTTTCTATCAAATAATCATGCCATTTTTTCCTAAGGTGTCCATTACCCCAAATACGTCTAATCCCCCCCTTGACTATCTCCAACGATGCTCTCAACGCTTTTAGACCATCTTGCACACATAAATTTAATACATGACATGCACATCGTTGATGAAAAAATCTACCCATCAAAGAAGTAGAACCACACAATTCACGCAATCTAGGAATAACAGCAGTATTATTAGTAGCATTATCAAAACCAATAGCAAACACCTTATCAATTAAATTATACTCAATTAAAATACGTTCAATCAAAATATAAATATGTTTAGCGGTGTGACGATCATTAAATTCACGGAAAGCAAGAACACGTTTATGCATATGCCAATCATTATCAATATAATGTACAGTCAGACCCAAATAATGTAAATTATGATAAGTATCCTCCCATATGTCAGAACATACAGTAACACGTCCATCAAAGTTTGCAAAATAATTTTGTAACCTTACCTTTTCCGCACCATAAAGCCTTGAAATTTCTTTCTTAACCGTTTTGCGACTATAACCTCTATATTGCGGATTTAAACAAGTTTGTGCATGATCACGAAAAGCAAGACTTTCAGAAAACAAATAAGGCAAATTTTCTTCAACAAGTAAGTTAGCCATATCTGTCAAATTTTGTGCATCATTGTATGAGAAATTACCAAAAGCTTGTTGGTTATTTGCAAACCTCGATATTTGCGTTTGTTTCCCCGTTCCGCCGCCTAATTTTGCATACTCCACCGGGTGTTTGGACTTAAGGTGTCTTGTGGCGGATCCGTATCCGCCGGAAATCCCCAAGATATAGTTTTTCTTGCACCAATTGCAAGTTGCGGTCCAATTCCCGGTGTTCGGGTCCTTCCACTTAGAAAAATTATTAGCCATTAATTCAGATTTACTTTTTTTTGTACCTGTTTGGGATGAGGCTGCTTGGTCGGCGTCATGGCTGCCGCCACCCTCCTCCTCGTCGTGGCTCTCCGGAATTGCTTCCTCCACATCGTCGTCCTCGTCCTCGAGCTCTTCTTCGTCAATGGTCCTCGGTTGGTCTTGAAAAAAGCGAGAATTATGTCGGTGCAATTCTTGTTCTAGTTGTTCGTCGGTCATCGCATCCCCATCCCTCCTTACGTAACCCGTATCAAAATCATCTTGACTTTGAGATGAAGAGCCGATATGTGATTTACCTTTGCGGGATCTCTTCCTCGCAAGCTCTTTCGTTCGGTTGCGCTCGAGGTTACCCATATCAACCGAATATCTAGGACGATCCATCTAAAAAATGTAGCGATTAATAAAAAATTGTAAAAAACTAATTAACTATTTATCTAACTATTAATTCGAGTTATAGCAAATTAAGTAGTGAATTAACTAGTTTTGTGTACAACATATTTTTTAAACTAGAGTCAAATGTAGCAATTAATAAAAAATTGTAAAAAACTAATTAACTATTTATCTAACTATTAATTCGAGTTATAGCAAATTAAGTAGTGAATTAACTAGTTTTATGTACAACATATTTTTTAAACTAGAGTCAAATGTAGCAATTAATAAAAAATTGTAAAAAACTAATTAACTATTTATCTAACTATTAAACAAGAGTCAAATGTAGCAAATTAACTAGTAATTAAACAAGTGTAAATAATAGAATAATTTCGTACCTCTTTCGGACTTTCGGTCTTTCAGATGGGAGTAATAGAATGACTTCAAATTAATTAGATATAATTCCAACTATATTAATAGATATAATAAATATATAAGTAATATATAATTAGATAACAAATATAAGTAATATAATACTATTTATATCTATTTATAGTTTATATAAGTAGATAATTAATATAAACTATAAATAATAAATATAATATATTGGAGAATGGAGAATAAGAGAATTAGAGAGTAGAGAGTTAAGAATAGGATTTAGGAAGAATTGGAGAAGAGATATGAAAAAATGTTTAAGATTAGGAGTATTTATAGGTTTTTTTACCCCCCACCACCCCCCACCAGCCAACCCCCCCGGACCCCCCCTTTACCCCACCCAACGGCTATATAGCCATTTGGGTTGTCCCCAGCCCCACCCCCAACGGCTAGTAGGAGCCCAAACCAAAAAAAAAAAATTAAAAAAAATAGACCCGGACCCGGGCCCGACCCGGCCGGGCCGGGTCACAAAAAACCAGAACCGAGCCCGCCCCGCCCCTTCCCATCGGTTCGGGTCCATACCCGGTCCCGGACCGCCCGACCATGCCGGTCCCGGGCCCGCACAGTACCGGGCCGGGCCGGGTCACGGGCCAGGTGGCCCGAACCGAATCCATCCCTAGTTCCATATGTCATCCCAATAATCATAATAATAAATTTATTGACCATAACTATGTTCAAATTTACACCTTAGTGACTTTTATGATGTACTAATGGTAGAGATTTAGTCACAGTTTAGTCATAAATTCTAGTTAATGTTAAAGACAACCTCTTATATTGTGCATATTCGTAATGTTAGGAGATTGTTTCCATTTTTATGCTCAAGAATGAAAGAAGTTTTATTGATGAAAAGGAAAATAATACATGCTCTAATGAGATAAGCTATATATTATAGAAAGTAAAAGAAATTACAAACTACATGGAACGCTTCAAACTAAAGACTTGAATGAGGAGCAAATTACGGGTCTACCAATAGAAAATGTCACTACCAAAACAAAACAGTAGGTCCATGTAGTAGAATGCTTTTGTGTAGTCCTTAGCTGAAATTTGATCGATACAATGTCAATTCTTGTGCATCCGACTCCATGTGCAGCAAAAAATTGTTAACAAATGCTATCAACTGAATATCCTATCAAATCAATACCAAATATTTGACCTGCCAAACTACTCCAGTTATTTAGCTGCAATTATCCAAGTAATAGGAGTAAGAACAACTTAATCTCCCAATAAATTAAAATGCCATAAATATAAAGTATGACAAAGATCTCCGAAACGAAATACAAAACGCTCCCAAAGAAATTATCTCATCAAAATTTATAAGTGGCATGAGCTGTTAATTTCATGCAAGTTATTTTTTTCAAAAGATAACTCACAAGTTATGTGTTATGCTCAAAATAACTTGCATTTTAATTTGAATGATCTAACCTATTCTATGAAGCAGGTTAATAACTTTCTCAAAGTATAATAACTCCATGTTGAATACGCTCAAATAACTTAGAACTTACTTGCTTTATATGCTCAACCCCTAACCCCTGAGATCCATTTAATATCATCAATGTCATGATGATCTAATAATACCAATAAACAGGCTAACCAAAATATTTTACCTGGCATACCTGCATGAAGAACAAAACTCAAAGCATATGGTGATGTAATGATAGCAATAAGTAGAGGCTGACCTGATGTCATATTAGCAGAGGCAGAACTAATATCAATACCAGCGAGCAAGATGCCCACTTATGAATGGGATAAGACATAAGGAAACTGAAAGTTTGCTTACTATATTGGAAATTCAGATAATCTTGTTAATAAAAATGAACAAAGGGATCTTGGAATAAAGAAACACTGACGAGGAACTAAATCAAATTAAGCAAACAATCAAAGACAAATCAAAAAGAAAAGAAAAAAGGGAAGATATTCCGTATTACACCTAATGTTTCCAAGTTGTTTTCTTTGCTTAAGTGCTCTTTTGTTTTTCTCTATGAAAGTATGTAGCAATGCCATTGTTGGTGTTTAATTTTTCAGTTTTAAATGTAATCTTATTTTAAGTTTCTTAGTATTGGCATTAGTAGAAATAGAGTTTATAAGTTTAATATTAGATGGACCCGTATACAGATTGTTCCAAAAACCTCTTGATGGACCCTTTAATAGTTTCATGGATGCTCTCAATGTCTATCTTTGTAGCTTATTTTAGTACATGTGTGTAGATCAGGAATATCACTGGGTTTGTATCCCCTAAAGTTGTTCAACGTAACAGACAAATTTGAAATAGTGAGCACGTATTATATGCTACACTACAATCAATTGCTGTAATTTTGCGTTTGTTTAATTGGCTGAATTGACTATATGTGCTAAAACATTGACTAAAATGGCTCAATTGACATAATTATGGAAAAATAATACTGAAAATATATTTATTAATCAACTAAAGAAAAGGTTATATTAAAAAAATAAAATTAAAAATAATAATAGTCATCTGAGCAATATTACTCAATAGAGCCGGAAAAGTAATTTCAGTTTTACTTCTTTTGATTATTACAAAATCTGATTATTACAAAAATAAATCAGAAGTTCAGTGTTTAGTTAATAACTTGGCTAATAAGAATGCTAAGCCAAAAATATAGGCTACCAAACATACCCTTAAATGGGCACAGTTCGAGATCAATTCAACTTCAGCTCATTTTTCCAAATTGTTAGCTTGTTTTTACATTTATAAAAACCAAAGCTGGAAGCGGTGTTTCCGGTCCTATTTCAAAAAATCCGAACCCTTTGGACCGCTTCAGGTCAAGCACCAAAAAACATGTGCCTAGGATGATGATTAAGAATAGAGTGTGTATCATATTCTTCCTTTTGGTATTATTTTAAAAACTAAAAGTGAAGCTTTTTATTGATATTGGAAAACTAATACAGTAAGATGTGTTGAAGTGTAAACATACATGTCTATAGCTTTATAATAGAACCTTTCTGACTTTACTTATTAAATAGTGATGATATGGTTAGTAAACTTAGTTTGACCCTTAAAATGTGCTAATACCTATATCTGAATAATCTTATCACTAAATTTCTTTCATCATAAGCATACTCAGTAGTATAGAATAGTATAATGTATCAAAATGCATGATGTATTTCTCTTGCAAATCCCAGTCAATCTTCACCTTCAATGCAAAACTTCAAATGACCTCACTAAATTCATGGCTAGATGATGCTAAGCATATGAGCTGTCCACTCTGTAGCAGCTCACATTCAATGGTTATCAAAAGATCAGTAAAATACTAATCAAGAAAGTGGCGATTATTACTCAAAAGATCAGGGCCAGCCTTTTAAGAATTACCTTTCTGAAAGGTTTGGCCTTCACGCTGGAACTGAAGTAGCATGATGGTTTTGCGAATATCTCCTTCATAGTGGTTGACAAATCTCTCTATATATTTGATATGTTTGGGCAGGAAAAGTATACCGTCTGTGCTTGTGCAAGGAGGTTCCTCACAAGTAGAACTAGAAAGCATAGCTCTAGCCTATCCAAATTGTTTGCAGATTGTCGCCTTTGACATGCACTCAAAGCGATGAGTAAACTATTCACTGAGTTTATGTTAAAGTTTTGGAAATCGGCTGAGATACCTTTCAAGAATTTTGTTATTTTGTTTATAAATCTGAAAGGCTACAAATTTTCAGTACATAATAATATGTTAGATTCCCCGGATGCGCATCCTTTTGTTAATAAAATTTGATTTTTTGTTGTTAAAAAAAAAAATAATCAAACTACGCCCAATATCAAACTGTAAGTTTAACTATTAAACTTGGATGTCATTGAAAAAAATGAAAAGAATCGATCTATGCATCTTAAACAAACATTATGACTAACAACAATTCAGGACAAGGGCCAATGAAAATGCTCAAGTTTCCCATATAGATGCACTGGATTTTGCTCAAATTATTTTCGAATCCGCTTTCACTTGTTGTGTTACTGATGTAGCAAACAGGGGAAACACATTTCAAGTTAAAAAATTACCTGCAGTATAAAGCAAACAGGGTGCTTTATGTGTGGGCATTGGTGAAGAAAATAAAACAAACCTGGATGAATATAGAAGATATCGCCGGACATCGGTTGAAGGAATTGCTGAAACGTGCTCTGGACGAATTATGCAAATAGAAGGATACATGGAGTTGAATAAGTGAAGGGAGAGATATGTGCTGCTCGACATCGTTGGTCATTGCCATTGGGAAGGTTAGATATGTTCTCCCGAGTTTCGATGGCTGCCAGTTAGAAACAGATGCTGAAGAGAGTACACACTTGAAAAAACAAAGCAGAACTAAAGAGAACATATTACCTCCAGGATGATCACATAACTCACTCATTAATTATTTAATAAACTTGAAACTATTTGAAGAAGATTGGTGATACTTGGCAGTTCATAGAAATAGCGCTTGGTGATCTGCATACTTGGCAGTTCAGTGCAATCAAGATTAGTGATCTGACCTGCATCAAGTTTAGTGCTAATATTTATTTTCTCTAATGCTATTTAAAAACAAAGAAGGATGAGAATTCAAAAGGTCATATGCAGACTTTGAATCACCCAAATACCCAATTAGTGTTCCATCCATTGAAGTGAATATTATCCAACACAAATTTAAAGATACTTGCACTAATCTGCAGTAGAAGTAAAAATGGCATAATCATACCTATTTTTTGTCTCCTTACCTTATTTGAGCATATAAAGCAAGGAGCTCTTATACATTCAGCAAGTTATAATTAACATGCTTCATAAAATAGGTTAGCTACGTCATGTTAATCTGCAAGTTCTTTTAGCATACCAGGTTAATATGTTAGGACATCAAATGTTAGGACGGTATTCAGTTTAAATTACATAATATAAAATCTTAAAAGTTGGAACTAAAATGAAAAATGTTAATATACAGATCATCATTATGAAGGAGATCAATATTAAGAGCAAGATAAATAGTTAGGACTCTATTTAGTTTAAATTACAACAATGAAAAAGTCAAGAAATGTGAATCACTTTTGCATAAAAGATAATTAAACTATTTGTTTTTTAATGAAGTTAACAGTAATGTTATCAGTTGCATCTATTCTTAAACAAATATTTTAAGCAATGAAATTTCTGGATACTTTGTATGAAAGTATGTTGAGTTAAAGTAACTTTAAACTACAAAATGGTCTTAAATCAAAGAGATTTGACTGATCTGGTGAAATAGTTTCATGGGAAACCTTGTGCTACTTGTCTTAAGGAATACAAATTCATAAAGAAATCTAAAAGCACAATTGATACGCTTCATTCTTCTATTTTCTACTTCCAAGGAATTATATTAACACATAAATATTATACTTATGTTAGAAATTGTACTTGTGTTAGGGTGAATTGAGTTCACTTTAAAGTATATGCGATTAAAAGCCTGTTGCTAAGATCATCTATAAGCATTTTATCAAACAACATATATGCAAAATAAAAAGTTTTGCAATAACGAAACTGAAATTCTCCGATAAAGAAACTACTATATCTTCAATCATTGAATTGAAGACCCAATGAAATCGAAAACATAATATATATGTATAGAACAATATAAAACACAAATCAATTGAAACACCATACCTCAAATGAATCTATACTAAAGCAAATTTATTTGTATCATTTAGTATGTATACTGCTTCTAATTTACCTGGTTTTGACAGGTGATGTTTCTGAGATCGAATGTTGTCTTCCTCAACTCTGCACGCCTCGAGTATTTGATTCAACGGTGGGGATGGTTTGATAGACCAGTATGAAGGCGAGGAAGGTGTGGTAGAAAAATGTTTCTGTCGTTTGAATGAGACGATCAAGATCGACCCGAATTGAGAGTGCGAAATGGATAGGTGATGAAGTCTGAACGGAGGAAGAGAAAAAAAAATGAAGGGTCGGAGCTGGATGGAGATGGATGGGCGGGTGAATGAGACGGAAGGCATGGAAAAAAGAAAGTGTTTCTGTGTGTTGTTTCGAGGACGACGGTGCGGGATCTAGGCATGTAGAATAGACGGCTGAGATGTTAAATTGGCTTGAGCGGGAATACCCTAGAATGAACAGTAATCTTATGTATTGGCTTTATATATATATATATATATAGATATAGATATAGATTCTAAGTTATCAAATACTGAAATCTTTTTTACTTACCCTTTTCAAGTCGGTGCCACTCCAATATATTTTCTTCAACGTCAACTTTTGTCTTTCGCCAATTCGCTCGAATCCAATCTTGATCACAAATAAGAGCTTGGACCATCTTTTTATAAGCAATTAATATAATATATATCAAAACAAAAAAAGATACTTGTCAACAAAAACAAAGATATTATTAATTTAATGTAATAAGAGTAATATTGAATATTTTACCTTAAGGGTCAAGGAACTTCGGAATTGGTCAAGAGTACGACCTCCGATGCTAAATGACGACTCAAATGGTACGGTAGATACTCGAATAGCTAATATGTCACGTGTCATATGTGCAACCACCGGGAACCACTCATTTCTCCTCATCATCTCCCCTTTCCTCATCCAAATAGGGATGGACTTGGGCCGGGCCGGTTCCGGTTCCGGGCCGGGCCTGGACGGACTTTTTTTGTAGAATCATGGGCCCGGAACCGGCCCGGGGTGATACCAGGTCCAGTTCGGGTCGGGCCTACCCGGCCGGGTACTGGGCCGGCTCGGGCCGGGCCCGGGCTATTTTTTTTTTTTAAATTAAATTCAGATTAGTTGGACATAAAAAATTTAAAATATATTTATTTGAATTATGTAGTACAATTGGAAATTGAGCAAAAATTACAACATGAAATACATTTTTTAATAAATAAGAATCAATCAGAATTTCCGCCATCTTCGATTGTTTCTTCCATAAAGTGGCGGGTGGGTTCAATGCTAATTTCTTGAGTTCTACGTTTGGCCTCCAACCAATCGTGGAAGCAAACAAGCGTCTCAAGAGAGTTTGCGCTCAATCTCGTTCTATAATCCGTTAGGACGTTGCCGGCCGCACTAAACTCTTGTTCCACAAAAACTGTTGATACGGACATTGCTAGCACTTGCTAAGCCATCTTTGATAAGATCGGGAACGTTCTCTCTTTTTCCTTCCACCACTGAAGAACGTCAAAGTCATCCCCTTCTTCATACTCAACAGGAAATGTTAGATACAAAGAAAGCTCGTTGATCGAGCTTTGTTCATTAACCGGAGTTGAATTACTTTCTTTCATAAGATTGCCAAATGCAGATTTCAAAAATGATTTTCCTTTAGATGAAGAAGATGTTCGTGGCGGGGGAGGGGGTGCGTTACCATATTGTGCATGAAACTCATTAAATAATTGATATAATAAATTACTAACCTCTTGAAATTGTTGTTTTGGGTCTATAGCCTTGTCGTCGTACATAGGCAATGGACCAAAAAAAGAAGCATAATAGTAATCTAAACATTGTTCCAAAGAAGCAAGTCTAAAACGAGGATCAATAATAAATGCAATACTATATATATGCGGAATATAGGAATAATATTTTAAAAACTTTTGTTTCATGAAGTCACCAAAATAACTAACGTAAGCGGCATCCGCAAATTCACAAAAAGCACCGAAGAGATTAACAGCTTCAACAAAAAATTGTTTTGCGGTAGGTTTATAAACATGACTAAAAGTTTGAGTTGCATTATTAAAATACACCAAAACATTCAAAACTTTTTCACAAGTGTCGATGTCGGCCGGGTTTATAATATAGTTAGCATATTCTTTTAAAAAAGCAGGAAAATGGGTTTTAAATCTAATAAGCACCTTAATTAAGTTATAAGTACTATTCCAACGAATAGACAAATCTTTAGGAAAAGCACAATATTTGACACGTGTTTCTTTCAAATAATTTCTCCATTGCATTTTAAGTTGATTACTAGCCCAAATAAGTTCAATCCCACCCTTCACCACCTCTATAACATCTCCCAACGCCGCTAGGCCGTCCTTTACACATAAATTTAATTTAAAATATGACATGCACAACGAGAAAACCTACTCATCAAAGAAGATGAACCACACAATTCACGCAATCTAGGAATAGCAGCACTATTATTAGTAGCATTATCAAAACCAATTGCAAACACCTTATTAATCAAATTATACTCAATTAAAATACGCTCAATGAGAATATAAATATTATCACCGGTGTGTCTATCATTAAATTCACGAAAAGCAAGAACACGTTTATGCATACACCAGTCATCATCAATATAATGTGCAGTCAAACCCAAATAATATAAATGATGATGAGTATCCTCCCATACATCACTACATATACTAACACGTCCATCAAAGTTTGCAAAAAACGTTTGTAATTTTTGCTTTTCCAAAACATATTGCCTTATAACTTCTTTTTTAATTGTTTTGCGACTATAGTTTCGAAATTGGGGGATTTAAAGAACCTTGAGCATATTCTTTTAAAACAAGACTTTCAGAAAAAATAAAAGGCAAATTTTCTTCAACAATTAAATGAGACATACCAGTCAAATGTCTTTGATCATCATAGGAGAAATTACCAAAGGGTTGGCCAGTTGCAAACCTTGAAATTCGTGTTTGTCTTCCCTTGCCTTTGTCCGATTTCGCATATTCCGCCGGGTGCTTGGCCTTAAGATGCCTTGTGGCGCTCCCGTACCCTCCAGAAATTCCCAAGTTATACTTTTTGTTGCAATGCTTACAAGTGACGTACCATATCTCGGTTTCGAGGTCTTTAACTTTTGTAAAATTTGGTTTAAAGACATATTCAGATTTCCCACCGGCTTGGGAAGAAGTAGCCACTTCCGCTTCCTCTTCCTCATCATCCGGTGTGCCATGAACCTCGTCCTCGATCGTTCGTGGATCCCTCTCCTCCGCATCATCATCCTCACGCTCTTCTTCGTCAATGGTTTGCGGGATGTCTTGTTGATGAAAAAAACTTCCTTGATTTTGTTGCAATAGTTGTTCTAGTTTCTCATCGGACATCGCATCCCCATATCTTTGGTTGTAATCCGCATCAAAATCGTCTCAGGTTTGAGATGAAGCCCCCGGCCCTCCCTTACCTTTGCGTGACCTTGGATGATTCCTCACAATCTCCTTTGTTCGGTTGCGGCGGAGGTTACCCATATCTACAGAAGTTCTACCACGCTCCATATTAAAAATATGACAAATATTAAATTCGAATAACAATTAAACAATTAATTTCGAATTAACTAGTTTACCAATTAACTAAAATTCGAACTATTTGTTTTACAATCTAACAACTTTATTTAACAAATTTAACAATTAACTAGTTTTTATAGAGATTAATAAATGTAACAATTAACTACTATGATAAGAGATTAATAAATGAAACAATTAACTAGTTTAACAATTAAACAATTAATTTTGAATTAACTAGTTTACCAATTAACTAGTTATTATAGGAGATTAATAAATGTAACAATTAACTACTATGATAAGAGATTAATAAATGTAACAAACTAACAATTAACTAGTTTAACAATTAAACAATTAATTTCGAATTAACTAGTTTACCAATTAACTAGTTTTTATAGGAGATTAATAAATGTAACAATTAACTACTATGATAAGAGATTAATAAATGTAACAAACTAACAATTAACTAGTTTAACAATTAAACAATTAATTTCGAATTAACTAGTTTACCAATTAACTAGTTTTTATAGGAGATTAATAATGTAACAATTAACTACTATGATAAGTCAGATAAGAGATTAATAAATGTAACAATTAACTAATTTAACAATTAAATAATTAATTTCGAATTAACAAAATTCGAACTATTTGTTTTACAATCTAACAACTTTATTTAACAAGTTTAACAATTAACTGGTTTTTATAGGAGAATAATAAATGTAACAATTAACTACTATGATAGGAAATTAATAAATGTAACAATTAGATAATAAGTGTATAAGTAGATATAATATATATATTTATTTATAAGTAGATAATAAGTAGATTAACTAGTAATATATAATATTATGTTTATAGTATATATAATATAAGTATATTACTATAAGATTAGTAATACACTTATATATAATACTTTAATATATATAAGTATATATTAAGTATAAATCTAAGTAAATAAATATAAGTAAGAATAATATAATAATTAGATATTAATATAAGTAGATAATAAATAGTACCTCCGTTCTTAAATAAATGCAACACTTTGACTTTTACACTATTCACATTTCTACTTTGACTACATTTTATTTATTAATGTAATAATATTATTTTATGAAAAAAAATTGTTAAACTTGTCTCATTGTAAATTTTCATATGCTAATTTTTTTAATTTTTTTACTAATACAACATTATTTATATTAATGGTCAAAGTTGTGTCTCGGCAAGTGTGAAATGTTGATCGTTGCATTTATTTAAGAACGGAGGAAGTATAATATAGGCTAAAAGGTCAAATAGACCCCTGAACGTATACGAATTGCTCAATTGGCACCCCAAACCCAAAAAAGCTCCGATCCAACCCACCAACCAAATTAAATACTTCAATCCCCCCATCCAACCGGTTACCTCCCGGTTGTACCCCTTTCAACCAGAAACTGGAAGGTCGGGACATACCTCCCCAAAAACTACAAGCTACCATTAATGGCGGAAATTAGAGAGCTCTCAGCCGGTGGGGGTTCCCACGACATCGGACCAGATGGATGAGTGGTCAGTGGTTGGCCGCTGATGACGAACAGCGGTGTGGCAGCTCTAGCGGCGGCTGGAGGAGCCAACGACGAGCCACGAGCATCGCTACGGCCGGCGGCGTTTCTCCGAAAATGGAGCGGCGAGACCTGGGGCACTTCAGAGAGCAACACTTGGTGCAGGTGGCCTTACCGGAGGGTTCACAGCAGTGCGAACGACGACGGCGGCACCGGCGACCCTTGGTGATAACCCTTGGTGCGCAGTACTGTTCACAGGCGTAAGGGGGACAACCGAGAGGTAACCGGTTGGATGGGGGGTTTGAAGTATTTAATTTGGTTTGGTGGGTTGGATCGGAGCTTTTTTGGGTTTGGGATGCCAATTGAGCAATTCGTATACGTTCATGGGCCTATTTGACCCTTTAGCCTATAATTAATATATGTAGTTATAAATTTGAGAAAGATGAAGAAGATTAGTAGAGAATAGAGACTAGACTCTAGAGAGTAGGAATATTTTGAAAAGATGTGTAGTAAATTGTATAGAAAATATGGAGTATTTATAGTTTTTTTGTACCCCCACCCCCACCCCCCTAACCCACCCCAGGACCCCCTGGAAGGCTCACAACGGCTATATAGCCATTTGGGTTCAATCACAACCGCTCCCCTCCCCCGGGCCGGGTCAAAGCCCGAACCTCCCTATCCTTAACCGGCCAGGCCGGGCCCGCACAATGGCGGGCCGGGCCGGTTCAGAGCCGGGCCGGGCCAGTTCAGAGCCGGGTCGGGCCGGTTTGGTCTATCCCTGCATCCAAATAACGATCAAACTCGCTCCTTGAATTATGTTGGGATCCACTCGTTTGCTTAACCCGATCTTTAACAAGATTCATTAACGTAGTAGAACCAACCATTGAAGAAGATGCTCTTGACTCATTACTAATCCCACTCTCATCAATTACAACGCGAGGAGCATAAACTCTCATATACTCTTCATACAATTCATAAGCAAACTTCTTTACGCTTTCAAATAGAATTGTTGCTTCCGCCTCAGTATAGGTATACAAAAGCCCAATCTTTCCATAACTTAAAGTTGGGATAAAGAATAGTACCCATGTAAATTAACTTGTTCATCTTTTCAATGTTTCCCCAGTATTTGTCATACTCCAACTTCATCTTAGAAGCCATATTTCGTAAACCAACAACTTGATCAAGTATGGAAGAAAAGTTAGTTACTCATGACATACAACAAACCAAACGTGTAGGGCAATTCCCTATGTAAGTCAACCCGAACAAAAACAACCTTATATTGCAAAAACGTGTGCAACCTTTCATATGTGGAGTTCCATCGGGTAGGGCAATCAAGACAGAAGATAAGTTACAATCAATCTTGTACTTCTCCACTTATTGGTTAAAAACCATCAATCTATTGGGAGAATTTTTAATGTATCTCACAACAGCCCTAAACTTATCAACACATTGAACATACTCCTTCAACCCATCCCACATTCCACATTATGAGATTAATGATATGTGCAATGCATCTCACATGCAAAAAATTACCATCGCTAATGGCGCCATTTTGCACCACCATGTTTTTCAAATACAAACATGCAACATCATTTGAACTAGCATTATCAACCATCACGGTATACAACTTATCAACTAAACCCCAAGCATTCAAACAATCTTCCACACCCCTCCCAATGGTCTCACCTTTGTGACTAGAAGTCTAGAAATGGGGCAAAAATTCAAGATTCTTTTATTCAATATCCAATTCTCATCAATAAAGTGGGAAGTAAGACGCATATGATTTATTCTTTGGATTGATGTCCAAGTGTCAATAGTAACCGAAACTCTGGCAATCTGGCATGATTTGCTAAAAAAATCCCTCAACCTCAGTTGATAAAACTTATAGCAATCATGTGCAACAGTTGTGCGAGAGGGTATATGAAAAAATGTACACGCAATGTTCACAAAATGCCTAAACTCGGGTTTTTCAACAAATCTGAATGGTACATCAAGAATAAGCATTTGATTTAATGCTTTTCTAACTTCCTCTAGATTAACACCTTTCTTAAAACCCAAAAAATTACCCTCACCGTTATTAGGAACAACATAATTATCAATCTAGTGGGCTTGCTTACCTCCTTTGTGTCTATTAACTGGGCTGTTTTTGCAATTAGCTGCATGATTTTTCAAATTCGTTGTGCCATTGACATTAGTATCTGCAGCAAATGTGATGTCGCAATAGATGCATTCTGCTATGATCTTGTTATCTTCATCTAGATAACTAGATAATCCCAGAAGCATTTCCAATACTCACCTTTCTTTCTTGATTTTCTTTTCACATAGTTGTGGCCCGGTTTTGGCTGTTTTTGCACATACGCGTCCACCTGCTCAGAACAAGCTTCCTCATTTATTTCTTGAGGTTTAGGAACATAACTTGTTACTGTTTCTTCAGAGATTATGCATCGCTTTTTGCCACGAGCACCGGAAGTGGGAATAGAACTGCTTGACATCTATTATAAATGCAATTTGATAAATCAAAAAGGCAACAATACAAGTAATACTATTTTCCTTCACATTTTCTGGAGGAAAGTAGTAAAGTCATTCATAAGAAAAACTCAGATCGTCTATATGGAGATGCATCAATACAAATACTCACCCCTCAGTGTAATCTGTAATATACTTCACATGGATTTACAATCTGTATATATGTAATCTGTGTCTCAAAAAACTCAGCCCTCAGCATCTCATATTACATTCCAAATGTATTTACAATTTCATGGAACTCAGATTGTCTATATGAAGATGCATCAATACAAATATAAATATTCAGATACAAATATATGTATCAAACTCAGATTGTCCCCATAATCTACTCAGATTGCATAAATATTGGTAAGCAACTGAGGGCATAATCTCTTACAAATAATATATGTCAACCAACAAAATTATTCTGGAAAATCAGATAATTAGTTACACCGTTGCTAGATTAATCCATCAGCCACCGCTGAGTATCATAAACTAATGAAATTTGAATTGGAATAAATGAGATGCAAAAAACTCAGCCCTCAGCACAAATACAAATATACAAAGTATTCAGATATATATTCATTCAGATTTCGGAGAATCAGAATTACCTTCAAGCTATGGAATTGGGACCGACCGTCGTCACCAGTCACCACCACACCGGAGGAGTAGACGATGGTGGTGTAGAATGATTGAGAGGAGCAGATGGTGGTGCGCCGCTGCCTTGGATTTGTATAAGCGGTGTGCCAAGCCGGATGGATGGGTGAAGATGAACGGACTGCTCTCTGACTATTGCGAGTTTGCGACTCAGGGATTTAGATCTTCTAAATTAGAAGTAGGCGACGCTGAAGTACAGTACTACAGATTAGTCGATTAGGGATTTTTTATTAATTCTGGGTTATTCCCGATTTAAACCGGATTGTACCGGTTATTAACCGGAACCGAACCGAAATCCGATTTACTGAATTACTAAAATAAAAAACCGGACCGGATTACATTCCGGCCCAGTCCGGATCCGGTTTAACCGGTCCGGTTCTGGTCCGGTTTGCCGGTTTGACCCGGTTTCTGCACAGCCCTAATCTTCATTGCTAGCTGGTGTAGGAGGATTGTTAGTTGTGACTTCAGGGACATCAACCCAGACTTCGAGTAAGGATGTTCTTCCCAAGCAGAGGAATCGAACTTTCAACACTGCAAATTCACCTCTCCTAAGCAGAGGAGGTCTTGAATCACTACCAAGAGTATAAGCTTCCATGTTGACTGTTGTTGATCTTTAAAGGCGAGAACTGTTTTGGTTGAAGAAGATTTCGATGCTGCTGATTTCGGGTTCATTAAACAAGATTTCGAATAAAGATACGAAATTAGGAATTCGAATGAAGATTTCGAATAGTGATTTCGATAGAGAAGATCGCGGGCCTTCGAAATAAAGATTTCAGCAAAACTAAACTTGGATGAAGATCTTAGGTCAGCTGCGAATTAAGGATCTCGGGTGTTGCATCGAAGACTTGGATCTCGGGACAGTATCGAGATCAGGATTTCGGGTATGTTTTCGAGGCCTGGTTAATCCGGCCATCCACCGCCCTCCTAAGCTCATCCAGTCGTCTTCTGATCGTTATCCTGGCCGGCCTGGACACGAGGTGGGGAAGCGTGATCTCCACGGGCTCGCCAATGTTCCTTGATCTCGTCTCTGAGATCTCCCCCACGCGCGCTGCAACGGTGGGAGGAAACGGCTGCAGATGATGCTTCATCACTTCGTTCCACCCCGGAGGAGAGCCTATCATGCACAGAAACTCTCCGTCCTCCAATCCGATCCATGACCAAAACCCTCGAGGTCTGTCTGGAATGATGAGACCGTTGAGACCTCGCCGGAGGTGAATTTCTTTAACGCTTTGACGCTGCGCAGACACTTCCTCCTCCTGTTGGGGCACAGATGGACCCCGACATGGGGAAGGAGGTCTTTTGTTGGTATTGGGAATGATTCCTTGGAAGGCGGTCGTCAATGTTTCCACAACCCTCTGAAACGTCGCCAAACTTGTTAAGGCTTGCGCCGGATCCACGTTGGAAAACGAGATTCCCGGTGGCTGGCGTCTGGAACTGTGGTGGACGTGTTGCGGGAGTCCAGTTTTGTTATATTCTACTCCGTATTATTTTATTTTATTTTTTGATTTTGTGTATCACATATGCGAGCCCAGTTTTGAATACATTAAATAGTTATGACATGCATGGTTCTAAATAGCAGTGTGCAGCACGCTAACAGCTGATGCGGCCGCAATATTGTGATCGTGGGCGGGGGCACAACCACATCGGACCGTCATATTGGTGTGTTTTCGATTCATGGGATATTTCGCAACGCAGTCGTGGTGAAACAACGGTGCTGCATCACACCACATTCGGCTGCAACCGGTGGCTACGGCACCACATCCTTAGAGACCTATCATCTTATGCTATGTTGCAGTTCAAGTGCCACCGCTGAAGTCTAAAGCGATGAAATGCTGAAGCTGGTGTTGACAAAATCCAATTTTTACACTTATAAAATGACTGTGTTTTGTTAAATGAAAAAAATATATGTAAAACTAGAACTAAAACGATATCATCGTTTTGCTAGTATTTTGTATTTGTTTACTCAATTATTTGCTTGTATAGCCGTGTAGGCAGTATTGAAGTATTCATGGAAGGGGTGGGCGCAGTCCGAAATGTCTGGTGAATTAGCAAAACTCATAATGTACCTCGTATGATGGCACCATGGACCACAATGATGGCCCAAGAACAAATTAAAATGAAGCCCACCAACGGGACAGCCATTAATTGGGATTAATATAATAACTAATAATAGCCGATGGGCCTAATTAGGAATCTGACCCGCGAAAGGAACCCATAACCAAACTCATCCTAGTGCTTATGTTGAGGGCTATCATTTGAGCATAGCTATCTGATAGCGGTAGGGAATAACGGAAAAAACGTAGACCTAGAGGAACAATGATTGCACCACGTTCGAGACGTTACAGGACTCTTATTATGATTAAATGCATTAAATGTATCATTTTTCTCCTAAAATACTGCTGCAACCTAAAAGGGATACACATTCTGGAATAATAATAGTGCCTTCCGCTGCCTAAATTTTATCTGCTCTCATAGTTGGAATTAAACTTCATCATTTGGTCTTCTCGTTGAGAGCCGATTTACGACAACGATGGTTGGATCACACAATCACAACCGTGCCAGCAACAACCAATGTGGTGCTCGAAGATGAAGGATCGCATTCACGACGGAGCGATTTTCGGAGAAGGGATGACAACGTGGTGACTCCAGGCAACTTGAGGAACCGTCTGCATAGCGTTGGGAGTTATAGGCACCCTACAACATGCTTGTCGCAGTTCCGTACGCCGGTGACTGGGAATCTCGTTCCAGGCATGGATCCTGCACAAGCTTTAGCTAGTTTGGCGACATTCCAGAGGTCCGTGGAAACCTTAACCACCACCTTTCAGGGGATTGTTGCCAACACTAATGAAAGACCTCCTTCCCCTCAGCATGTTCCATCTGTGCCCCAACGGGAGGAGGAGGAAGCAGTATCTGCGCGCGACGTCAGATGAATTCATCACCAGCATTCCAGGCAGATCTCGAGGGCTTCAGTGATGGATCGAATTGGAAGACGAAGGGTCTCCATGCATGAAAGGCTCTCCTCCAGGGTGGAATGGGGCGATGAAGCATCTTTCGCAGCCATTTCGTCCCACCATTGCAGCGCGCATGGGGAGGGGGAACTCAAAATGAGATCCTCAAACATAGGCGAGCCCGCGGAGATGAACTCAGGAGGGCGGTAGATGACCGGGATAATCTCAATCATGGTGTGAGGATTCCTGAGCCGTTTATCCGTCAAATTATGGACGCTCCGTTGCCACAGGGGTACAAGCCTTGCAACATTGAGGCCCGCTGAGGAAAGACTGATCCCCAACATCATGTCTCTAGGTACATGGCTTATATGGTGATGATGGGGTACAACGATGCGATTAGATGTAAAGGATTCTCCGTAACCTTGGATGGGCCAGCCCGGGAGTGGTATGACTCCTTACATGATGGGAGAATACAAAACTTTCGAGAGCTAGCCCAGGCGTTCATCGCACGATTTGCCAGCTCAAAGGACTCCAAGAAGAATTTCTCTCACCTCCTGGGAGTCGAGCAAGAGCTCCAGGAGACTCTGACCGCCTTCTTAGCCCGTTGGAGGGATGAATCGATAAAAGTTGACGGTCTGGATGACATATCTACCGTGGACCGCCTGCGAGACTCTGACCGCCTTCACCAATGCCTTGAAGTCGAGGGAGCTACATAAAGAGTTCGTGCGACAGTCCCCGATCTCACGTGAGGAAGCCCTGCGACGAACTGACCGGCAGGTAGAGGAAGCGGAAAAGCGAAAGAGAGATGGATAGCACCACACTGACGAAAGAGAGAAGAAGAAAATGGATACTGACTATCAAAGTTAATTAATACCTTTCCAAAAGAAGAATCTCATTCCAACTTGATTACTTTTCACGAAATGTCACCCCCGCCAAAAAAAAGAACATGTCTCATTCTCTCTCAATAAACTCTGAATCCCACAAACAGACAACACATATATTATATTGTTCTGTGCTTTTGTCCAACCGATAGAAGGCATGTTTATCCAACACCGGATCCGGGTTTATACGCCTTCATTACTTAATAACATGTTAACTGTTTCTTCGAAATTGAAGCAGTACTTAATAACATGTTTAACTTCAAATGTGTGTCTTTATTTACACGATAAACAAAATTAAAAGAAAATCTATGAAAGTGGTCATGTAAAAAAGGAATCGAGTGAATCGCTAGATAAGCATTGTTAACCTCATCTGTAAATTCTGCTATGAAACTGCTACGGTTTCAAGAATCCATCTTCCCAATCAGTCTGAGGAGTAGTTGCGCACAGCCAATAAAGAAAAGGAAAAAGGTTCATTAAACAGTCATAAATATGCCTGTGAGAAATACCACCAACATACTCCTGAAAAAATTAAAGTGTATATCAATATAGTAGGCTGTAGGCTAAGATTTTATAAGTACTAGTTCAAAAATAAGATAGTTTTTACCAAGATAGTTGCATCTACCCATATCAATCAACTGTAGAACATGAAGAATGAAAAATACAAAGTACATACCTGAAGCCATTGATATTCACGTATGTGTTCGGTGACATTTCTAAATAGTCTCATTAAGTCCACTAATCTATCTCCCGTGTACTATCTAAATCTGCCTTCTTCAATGATATTACTTGGAAATTTAGATTTTTAATCTTTTGAAAATATTTTACTCTTAAATGATTCAAGTTTAACACGCAACAACCAGGAGTTCCAGAGAAGTCTTCCATATAAGAACTTAAAGCTAATATAAAATGTACTTGATCCATCTTTGATAAGAAATATTTATGGTCAAGAAGATCTTACGGCTTAACTTCACTCTTATAATACAAGTCTCATGCTCTGATGGTTAATTGCTTACAATGTCTTCTTCATCTTTAAATAATTCAGCTCTTCCTTTCTCTAAAGCACTACATTCTTTTATAAATTCAATGAAATGTATTCATGTCCGCACATCACCTTGTACATGTTGTGATCCTCGAACCACTTACATCGTTGGAATTCTTTAGACTTCCGCGAATTACATATGACTCGCGCTGTATAACGACTTCGTCCAAAATTAATCTTTTGGATCTAGTGTTGTTTACTTAAATGTTGAATGTTGTACACAAGACTTTCTGACTGGATTTGATCAATTTCTAACATAACATCTTTAAAAACGCCGCGTTATGCATCACGAGATAGTATGTTTTCCCTTAGAAGGTGTTGTGAACATAAGTATGACACGTATTGAGGAGAGAGTAGTTGACAGAAAGTTCCGAGATTAGGAAATGATGATGCTTGGGTTTTTAGTTACTTCATCCATCATTTGATGAGATTGGTACCTAAATCTATCTCTTTGATATTATTTTCATATCAAATTAAATATTACTATAGACTAAAATCGGATATATATCAATCACTAAACTGATCTACTATTAATTGGCATAAAAATCATTTATAAGTGACATCATGATTTTTCTTTTCATATTGTGTCAAGCACCAAGAGTGAATCACAATCTAGAGTAATCTTTGAGTTCTTTCCTCTTTCACAAGTTAAAACTTAAAACTATAGTAAGTTGAATTCTTTTAAAAACTCACTGTAGTTTTAAGTTTTAACTTGTGAAAGGAAAGAACTCAAAGATTACTCTAGATTGTGATTCACTTTTGGTGCTTGACACAATATGAAAAGGAAAATCATTAATTCTCTTATAAATGAATTCGTTGCAAATTAATAGTAGATCAGTTTAGTGATTGATATATATCTGATTTTAGTTTGTAGTAATATATTTAATTTGTTATGAAACTAATATCAAAGAGATACATCTAGGTACCAATCTCATCAAATGATGGATGAAATAACTAAAACCCAAGCATCATCATTTTTTAATCTCGGAACTTTAAGCCAACTACTTCTCTCCTCAATATGTGCAATACTTATATTCACAAAACCTTCTAAGGGAAGATGTTGTGAATACGTTATTTAGAATTCCACAAACAGTCAAAACATAATATCTCGTGATGCATACCGCGGCGTTATTAATGATGTTGTATTAGAAATTAATCAAATCCACTCAGAAAGTCTTGTGTACAGCATTTAAGTAAACAACACTGGATCCAAAAGATTAGTTTGGACGAAGTCGTTGTACAACGCGAGTCATATGTAATTCGCGGAAGTAAAGAATTCGCGACGATGTAAGTGGTTCGAGGAAGTTATTATAAGAGTGAAGTTAAGCCGTAAGATCTTCTTGACCATAAATATTTCTTATCAAAGATGGATCAAGTACATTTTATATTAGCTTTAAGTTCTTATATGGAAGACTTCTCTGGAACTCCTGGTTGTTGCGTGTTAAACTCGAATCGTTTAAGACTAAAGTACTTTCAAAAGATTGGAAATCTAAATTTCCAAGTGACATCATTGAAAATTAAAAGAAGGCAGATGCAGACAGTACACGGGAGATAGATTAGTGGACTTGATGAGACTATTTAGAAATGTCACCGAACACATACGTGAATATCAATGGCTTCAGGTATGTACTTTGTATTTTTCATTCTTCATGTTCTACGGTTGATTGATATGAGTAGATACAACCATCTTCATAAATACTATTGTTGATATTAGTTTTTGAAGTAGTACTTCAAAAATCTTAGCATACTAAATACAACAGATATTGACATACACTTTAATTTTTTCAGAAGTATGTCGGTGGTATTTCTCACAAGCATATTTATGACTGTTTATGAACCTTTTTGCTTCTCTTTATTGGCTGTGCACAGCTACTCTTAATCAGATTGATCAGGAAGATGGAATCTTGAAACCGTACCAGTTTCATAGCAGAATTTACAGATAAGATTAACAATGCTTATCAATTCACTCGGTTCCTTTTTTACATGATCACTTTCATACATTTTCTTTTAATTTTGTTTATCGTGTAAATAAAGACACATTTGAAGTTAAACATGTTACTCCGTATTAAGTACTGCTTCAATTTCGAAGAAACAGTTAACATGTTATTAAGTGATGAAGGCGTATAAACCAGGATCCGGTGCTGGATGATTGGGTGGGTATAATTGTTGAGATATACATGTCTTTTATCGGCTGGACAAAAGCACAGAACAATATAATATATGTGTTGTTTGTTTGTTAATGGTGATATGTTTGTGGGATTCAGAGTTTATTAAGATATTGAGAAATAGAATAAAACATGAGACATGTTCTTTTTTTGGGTGGGGGTGACATTTCATGAAAAGTAATCAAGTCGGAACGAGATTCTTCTTTTGGAATGGTATTAATTAACTTTAATAGTTAGTATCCATTTTCTACATTTAAGATAACTCATACGTGTCTTTTTTATTAATTTTGAAAGATAAGCATAACTTGTGTTGGCTTGATGTTGAAAAAATATTAGTCATGGTAAATTTTACGTGATTGTGTTTGAAGTAACCAATGAGAGATACAAATATTGAAATCGAAAATGTTGTGTATAAAGATGTGGTCCATAACTTTTAGCGTGAAATGTAATGCAATTTCAAATTATATTTATGTTGCATCACTGCTTGAGGGCATGTTGCTTACTATTTTATGGGGCTATAACAAATTGTGTACTACTTTGTAATTAGGGATGGACCGGTTCCGGTTCGGGCCTAGTTCGGGCCTGGGCCTAGCCGGGCCTCGGTTCATGAAAAGGGAGGCCCGGAACCGGCCCGGGTAACCCCCCGGGTCCGGTACGGGCCGGGCCTCGATTCTTTTTTTTTTTTTTTTTGACTTTTCCTAATTAACCCCCAACCCAACACAAAAACTTAAAAAAATTCAAAAAAAATAATAATAAGTTAGCCTGGACCGGGCCCGAACCGGTCGGGCCGGTTCACGATTTAGGAGGCCCGGCCCACCTACCTCACCGAGCCGGGTGGCCCGAACCAGGCACCAACCGGTTCACCGGGCTGGTCTGGGCCCGCACAACGGCGGGCCGGTCCGGGCCCGCACAGTAGCGGGCTGGTCCGGGCCCGCACAGTAGCGGGCCGATCCGGTTCCGTGCCGGTTGGCCCAGCCCGAGTCCACTCCTATTTGTAATCATTGATAAATTGTATTGGATATGTTTCATTTTACATAAAACTTTAATGTTTTACGGAATATAATTCTGAAGGATTACATTAAAATTACAAATTTGTTTATTAATTCAAAATTTGACTAAAGTTAATTACATACGTTGAAATTTCATTACGTGTGCTATTCCACGGGTGTTCTTCTAGACTTCTAGTCAGTACAAAAAGAAACGTAGGATTTGACAACGTGAGGTAATCAGCTAATCAAAGATTTAAATTTTGGAATTTATCCCCTTTTAGTTTCAAAACACAGCAATAGGCAATAGAAATTCCTGGATTTGAAATTGAACTCTTGCTAGAACTAAACAGATGTCCCTAACGCGGCAGAAAAAGAATCTTGTAATAGAGACCATGATATTGGAAATTTTATAAATGAGATCTTGATATGAAATTTAAACTCCAAAATCTAGGAGATATTATAAAACCTAAACATTAACTAAAATCGACCCACTGTTCAACCATTAGAAATCATCAAATCAATTTTAAAAAAATTACTCCACTAGCAATAGATAGCACTGCTTTGCTGAGAACCGAGGGAAAACAAACTAAAGCCACGAGCATGGAATTAATAACCTACGAAGTAAGGACTATTCGATTTACTCATTCGAGGCTTTGAAAACTTTTAACAAATCAAAGGAATTGAGCAAATCTAGCAGAAATTCAAGCTTTTCAACAATCCTAAAAGAACACATTAAGTATAGAGAATGAAATTTGTCTTACCTGGTATGAGATTCGAATCAGAATTAAGAAAATTCTTGATCGCAAATTGAGATCCTGTTTGGTAATATCAAAATGGGCTGCATTGGCTAATTTTGATGAAATTTATGAAGTTCTGTCTTAAGTGGTTGGATTGCCCGGTTCTGCTAATCTATGAAAAATTACATTTAAAATACTTTTTAGTAAGTAAGTAAAGAAAAAATTATATGAAAATAGCTAAAATGATCATCTATAGTAACTTTAGTCAATACAGCCAGAGAAGTAACCCCAACGTAACTTTTTCTTATTATTACACAATTCAGCGTGCGAAATCAAAATTTCCGTGTTTGGTGAAAAAGTTGGTTGATAAACTCGATAGGCTGAGAAACAGGATCACCATACGAGATTTGAAAGTGATGAACATTTTTCTGGAGAGAAGGGACGACCGCTGATGGGAGGATAGAAGCGCACTTCTTAGGGATTTCAGTCTTAAACATATTTATCTGGGCTTAGTTAACTGAATTGGGCTTCTAATCATCTCTTTAAAAAATGTTTCTAACACATTAAAAGTATTTTCTATTTTTAGACCATTAGTTATTTCTTCACTTAAAATTATTAGAGCTTACCGGTACGTTACCTGCCACAAACAAACATGAAAAATAATTGATCACATTAGTCATAGAAGAAATCTATTTAATCGACTAAAATAAATAATAATAATTAATTATTAAAATAACCAGCTCACAAAAAGTCGGGGTGTTACACTTGAGCTGAAAGACTGACCTACCGTTGGGTTGACAGGTTGTCTTGGACTTCAGCTCCATTGGACTTCCGCTCTACTGAACCGTACCAAATCAAAACCAATCGATATGCAATTTGAATTGATTTTTGTAGGATTTCTTCCAGACGGTGTTCAATCGACACGAACCGAAACCGAAAAAACTGAAGCAAAGTAAATAAATCATTAAAACCTGCATATATTACTAAACCATAACAAATTCAAACCCAAAGATAGTATCATTTTTTAATGATCATTCTTCCAACCCATTTCAAAACGATAAAACCGAATAAAAAACCAATATGTCCACAGTCCACCTCCAGTATGTAGTGATTTTTGGTTCAAGATTATGTTAATTATTTGTTTTCATTTTATTTAGTCACTTTATTTTATTTACATCATTATTATATGATGTAAACATATAAACATAAGAGTTAATTCTCTATATAGGACTAAGACAATAAACATGTGCACAAATAGGACTTCTATACTTCATAGGACTAAAAATACATTGACTGGACAAAATTACCCTTAATGAAATTCTAAATAAATTTATACTACCTTCGTAACGTAAAGACGTTCCCATTTCAAAAGTAGGTAGATTATGAATAATGAAAGAAAATATAAATTATTGAAGATATGCTGGGAAGATAGTGGAATAATGTAATGGAATGAATGATAAATCCAAAAAAGTAGTTGCAATGGTGTATTATTTTTCAAATTATTGAGGGTATTATGAAAAGATTTAGAAACGAGAAGATCTTTTCGTTACGAACGAAAAAGAAAGTGAAAAAATCTTTAGGTTAACGAGGTAGCTTATAATTAAAAGGGAGAAGGGCAAAAAATGACACCAAGGTTTTTAATGAATCTCGGAAAGGACACTGAGGTTTATGGTGGACCAAAAAAACACAAATTAAAACTTTTACCTTCAGTTTTAACCACCCACTAACATTCCTTTCCAACAGCCGTTTCCCAGCTAACAACGCCCCTTTCCCTGCGATTATACACGGAACCCCCATTTGCAACCCTAAGTCAAATTTCTTGGACTGTAAGTGCGTCGCCTGAGAAGATTAGATGTTGATGGACTGTAACTTAAGATTGCAACCCTGAAGTTTTACATTTACTGCTAGACTCCGTTGGAACACTCTAAGGTACTCCGATCCGGTAACTTTCACTGTAAAAATGAGTGGGTTGGTCAACTTGACGTTTAACCATAGCGGGAGGTGGGTGTTCAAGCCTTTACAGTACATTCATGAGGATGTGGATGCAATATATGGATTTGACCTTGACTATTTGTGTTATCATGACATATCTTGGAAATATAAGGATGATTTGATTTTAAAACTCTAAAAAGCATTTGTGTTAGAACCTCGAAAAGATATGGAAAATGGATTGTTCTTTGTTCAAGATGATGACACAATAAGGAAGGTGCTTAATCGTATTAGAAGATTCTCTTGGATTGATGATATTGAATTGTATGTTAACCATCAACTGGATGAACCTCTTCAAATTCCCCTAATAGAAGGGATTAGTGTGACAGACCTCAATGGTGAAAGCCAAAATGGGTTAGGATCTGATGGTGGTAGTGAACATGTCAGAGACCAAACTGAAGTAAGCACTAGATTCCGCCTCATCCCCCTGACTGCCACCCTCCGAGGACTGGCTCTCGGAGTCAGACTCAAAATCAACAACAGCTTCAGAGGGGCTCTAGCCAGCTCCAAGGGAGGCCGGAGGTCTGCCGCCGGCGTTGGAAGAGTCGCAACGCCATCTCCGTGTGTGGACCCGCTAGACTTCTCGGGGTCCCTAAAAAGCCCTATTTACCTACTTTATATATATACTCCCTCCGTCCCTATTTAAATGTCCCTCTTTCCTTTTCGGGTTGTCCCTAAAAAAGTCGCCTTTCCTTATTTGGTAAACAAAACAGTGCCAAATAAGTGCCACTTTCTTAAAATGTGTGGAAAAAGAAGGTCAATGTAATTAGGACAATGATCATATAAGGTAGGCCTAAAATTTACAATATTAAGCCCGTCTCATTTGAAGTGTTTTCGGTTTGAATTTTTTGATGGAATTTTGTGACCATGTTCTCTATAAAGTGTAGATTATGTCCACCAAATTTCATCTTAAATTTCAATCAGGGAAGTCAGTCAACTAAATTCTTGAAAATCGTGCAGCTTTGTATATATACAAATGCAGCATTATATATATATATATATATATATATATATATAAAAACATGCAGTTATTTCAAGAATTTATTTGATTTGGCCGGTTGAATTTTAAGCTGAAATTTGATGGACATAATCTACACTTTATGGAGAACATGCTCACAAAATTTCATCAAAAAAATCGACCCACAAGCACCTCAATGAAAGAAGCCAAAAATTGTAAATATTAGGCCTACTTTACATGATCATTGTACTATATGTATGTATATACATATATTGCAAATCCCATTTGAGCAAAGTTATTGCCCATATTCCGCTGGAATATAATATGGTTGCCTCAACAATGGACTACGTAAGCAGGTGAGAGTTTTTCAGAATCTTACTCTCTTAATGGACTACCTGTCCTAGAACTATTCAGCTGGATAAAAAGGGGTCCTCGTTTGGTGCATTAAGCATTAGTTTGACTTTCTGTCATTTATGTGCTTTGGAATGGATGCCAACATGGGAGGTTTATTCATTTAGCCACCCTCTCAATTCGTATTATATTCTGTTATTAATGAACTTTGTAAGGGTGCGTGGACCTTACACCATTTATTTTGGTGGAACTTTCTAGGTTAAAAAAATGTGACAACCATACTTGTGGCATTAACTTAAGTTGCACATTATTTACATATTTACACTAGTAAACATTTTTATGACTAGGTAAATGCATTTTATTTACTTATATTCCACTTGTTTTGATGATTGTAGATGTAACGATAAATTGAATGATCGTTGTTGAATATGTAAATCTATCGAGTATTGTTGAAATGACCAGGAAATGATCATACGTTTGTTGTATTAATATGATCATATGATTTTAGATATTGAACCGGAGATCTTTTTAAGTTTTCACTAGACAAAGGTTTTGTGTTTCAACACTACTTGTTGGATTCATTATAATGTATAGTGTATTGACTAAAAGAGAAATGCAAATATGCAAACTGCAAAGCATGCCTAAAAAGGAATTTTGGACAATCAAAACTATATTTCTAAAAGTTAAAAATTTAGTAAAACAAACCCAATTAAAATTCCAGTAAAACCTGTCCAATCCGGTCAAAATCGAGGTAATCCGGACCAGTCTGATATTGGACCGGAATTATTCCAGTCTGGCCCTCAGTACTATGAATTGGTGATTCCGGCCCAGCCTGGACTTGGATGGGTCTTCTGCCCTACTCTTAAGTCTTATCATTGCATTTCTTTCGAAAAAAGCTACTCCTAATCAGGGCTACTTTTCTTTGTAACCAATGTCATGGATTAAATTAATTATACAAAATAAGTTGAAGGAAGTCCATACATGACTAATCTTTGGATGGACAAATTCCACATTATTGCAGAATGCAACGTCAACTTTTCCAGCATAAGAAAATGTAGTTATGATTTATCAGCAATTTAAATGATTATTAGTATCATCTTCGAAAAAACTAAGAAGTGTCATACCTCTCTCATCCATGTGATAGTGTTTGATATATCTTCTAGGTCCATTCTTCCTGATTCATCATGTTTGCAACAAAGAAGTGCTAGATTGAACAATTTTACCACGTCTTCAACAACATAGTGACCCAACTTGCTGTAGAGTTCACAATGACAATAGAATCTGCTGCATTCATTTGCCTGAGAGAATGAAAAACAAAACCAATCAGATTCACGATGACACTTATTGGTATCATCTGTAGGAAAACACCAAATAGGGAGTGGGGGGTTAAAGATAACTGCAGGCAGTATAGTCTCTTGGCGCCATGCGCACAGGCAGATATAACACCACATATAAAAATAGAAGGCCGTGCCAATTGACAGCGCATGAGCCACTGTAAGCCACAGGCCCACAAATGTCAGGCAAGCTTTTAGCCACAGGCCTCCATGCACCTGCTCACGAAGGCAATTCAAGTGACTTTTCTTGTGAAACTTAAAAGTTTGATTACCTTCCTCCCGGCGACTGTCGTGTAATTTAAGAAGAGTTCAAGCTGAACTTAACCAAGTGATCAAGTTTGAATGCTCGAGTGAGCAACAGTTCAGTCAAAGTTGCAAGTTTGGATGCTAATGTGGGCAGGGGGGGCTATGTTATCTTATCGCTGAATACTCACTGGTCCAGGTAGGGCATTGCCGGTTAGCATTCCTACTCGCTCTGTTAAAATTTTCAGAGTAACTCGGCGACTATCTCCACTAGGTGAAAAGGTTGACTCGCCAAGTTACTCAGCACTTGATGAAAATGATGATCGGGTTGTTCCAGATCAAAATCTTCAAGATCTTGTCAGTCAAGGGGTTGATCTGACTTGGGGAGAAGTACAGGGCAGCTCAACAAGCAACTGATGCACAAGCAAATATAAGGAGTCAAAACAGAAGAGAGATCGCATCATGTGTGTATACACTGCTTTATACCGATTTAGATGGTGTGGAAGAAGATGAACTTGTGGGAAATTTGACTGGTAAAGATCTGTTTGGGGAAATCTGTTTAGGGGCATAGAGGATGAAGAAGAAAATGATGAGCTTGAACCCAGGGAAGACTAGTTTCAGAAAAAAGTTCAGAATTAAATCTTATTGGATCATTGATTTTCTAGGAAAGTTAGGATCTTTATGATTTTTACCACTTCATTATCAGGATTATTATAAATTTATTGGTATTTAAGAATTACTCCCATCATCCCAAAATAATAATTACTTATTTCCTTGTTGGTGGTTATGAGCATAGAAGACCGAGTGATGGACTCAAGCACCTATTAGACGAGTTGAGAGGTGGGGAAAAGAAGCTGGGAGGAGACAAAAATGATAAGTTATAGGAGTTAGGAGTGAGAAGCTTCTTCTTGGGTTAGATGTGATTGACTTTATAGAAAGCAAAATGGAGGGAAAATATTCATGTGAAGAATTTTTTTCATTTTACCTTTTTTGACTTTTTACGTTTCTTATATTCTTTATCTTTTAATCTTATTTTTTTAACTTATCTTATTAACATTTTTATATATTTTTTACCTTTTTTAGCTCTGATTTCATATGTCAATTCATGTCAGCTGACCCTGAACTATTCTGTCTGATTTTGAGACAGAGGTAGTATAAGACTAATATATAAGAAATTTGGGGCATTTATATTTTTAAATCAATTAATATAGGGCCAAGTAATTTCGAGTAACCGGTCCAACTCACTACTTGGCGCTTGACCTAGTTGCCACCGAGTAGGGATTTAACTGCTTAGTGGGGCACAAGTTCAAGAGGAGTTCCGGAGAGTTTGTTCCAGTATTCAAGTTTTTCATTTCCACAGATTTAATCTTATTATGATATGAAGTTAGAAGTTGTTTGAGATTTTAAAGTTCATTTTACAACCTGATGCATATGATGCTCAAAGTCAATCTCTAAAAGCTCAAATATAATTTGGACTAAACAATGTTTCTTATATTCTTTATCTTTGTATCCTTTTTATCTTATCTTTTTTAACTTATCATTTTTTCTTTATCTTATCTTTTTATCTTTTTTTATCTTATCTTATTAACATTTTTATATTGTTTTACCTTTTTTAGCTCTGATTTCATATGTCGATACAAGTTAGCTGACCCTGAACTATTTTGGATTCTGAGACAGCGGTAGTATAAGACAAAAATATAAGAATTATGGGGCATGTATATTTTAAATCAATTAATACAGGGCCAAGTAATTTCGAGTAACCGGTCTTACTCGCTACTAGGCAATTGACCTAGTTGCCACCGAGTAGGGATTTAACTGCTTAGTGGGGCACAAGTTCAGTTCAAGAGGAGTTCCGGAGAGTTTGTTCGATTGTTCCAGTGTTCAAGTTTATCATTGCCACAGATTTAATCTTAAGTATGATATGAAGATAGAAGTTGTTTGAGATTTTAAAGTTTATTATACAACCTGATGCATATGATGCTCAATGTCAATCTCTAAAAGCTCAAATATAATTTGGACCAAATAGTGCTTGTCGGGTCTAAACCTTTACAAAACTGAACTTTCAAATGATAGATTGTATTTTACGAGGATGTGTGGTGGAAATGTACAGAGCAATCATAATTACGCAAATGTATGTGTGGATTGTCGATGGTGCAGGCAATTAACAGTGGCAACATATGTACTTGCAGAAACTAAGGGATATCTGCCACCAAAAAAGACACACCTCTGTTAAATGCGAAAGTGAAACAAGCAAATAGGATTCCTCATAAAGGAACAAAACATAATGCTACAAAATTTTGGAGAGGGGTCGGAGTGATAAGCCCAATTAGAAGAAAGAGACCTGTGAGGGCAGCCAGAGGAAAAGAGAAAACTAATTATAAAGAAGAAAAAGATAGGGTTGCCTGCCTCTTATCTATCTAAAGTTTTTATCTCCGATATCATATTTTTATTTATGCTAGCCGACCCCAAAATCTTTCGGAAATAAGGCCATGGATATTGTTGTTGCATAGTGATTTCCAACAAGCGTACACTTGATATATATTCTTTAAGACATAATTTATTCCATGTTTATTTGTACTCTGGTTATCGAGTGTTACGATGCGACTAACTCATCTACATTTTGATGGTGATTAAATAACGAGGGAAAAATACATCAAAGAAATATTGTATTGATAATTAAATGATGAGTTGAGGGACAAAAAGGTATGTTCTTTAGCGAAAGCATTAGTTGAGAAGCCTTTCCCGGCCCAGGCACAACAAGTATGAAGTATGTGCTTCTTGTGTTTATTGCGCTAAAGCGCCTGAGGCATACGCCTGCGCCCGGAGAATACTAAGGCGAGCTCTTTTGACTACACTAAGCGTACGCAATATTGCAGTGGAACATACGCAATAATGCATATGCAATCAGGCGCTGAGGCTTAGGTAATAGGAGGCCAGGGTGTAAGGATGTTGTTATTTGGGCCCACCCGGCCAACTTTCTAATTTTTATATTTAATAAGTTCTACTATTAAGAGCCCTATTAGTAGACAGTGATGATTCAATCTTTCTGTCATCAAACTAATATTTTAAATTTTAGTATGTTAAGAATTATGTTTTGATGAGCGCTTCAGATATTTTTGTTATTCCCATGTTTGGACTTCGAACATTTTCTTTGCTAGGATTATGGCCTCATAATTTGTTTTAATAAGACTTCTGGTAAATATGTTGTTTTATTTTTATTGTGATTATACACACACACACACATTTTAGAATGTTGCCCATAATTATAGTGGGATTTCTTAGAAAAAATTCCCTTGAAAATATTAGCAATTCTCATCAGTCATCACACCAACAAGTAAACCACTATAAACAATTTAATCATATGCAAATCACTTACCAACATATAGAGGAGGCTATCCTATGTCTAAACACTATAACAACTAGGTTTACATCAGCTCCTTAAATGTTTACCTTGTCCCCCTATCAACTCAGGTGGGTAAAGTTCACGTTTTTTCCGAATTAAGTCCCCTTTTCTAATAAATAAAAAGCATGAGACCTTTGCATTGCCACCCTATAAAAGCAAAATGAGCCTGCACGAGTTAAAGAAGATTTATAGATGAGCAGCGGGCATAAGATGAATGGAAACCTCATCTATGAACACTTCTTCCATTGTCAATTGTTTATGCAGAGGCCGATTCCTAGCAGTGCAGTAGTATAGAGCTTCAGCTACTTGGTAAGCAACTATTAACCTCCCTTCCCAGGTCATAAACTTTGATTGACAACCTAAAATGCAACATAACTTATCAATTATCATCAATATGGAACAATAAAAAAATCACCATTAGTCATTTACTCATTTCACCATGTGGCTAAAACAAGGACAAGCACAACAGAAATGTTCACAAAGAATTTTATTCAGCTGGAGGAAGGCATATCGGCCGCTATGGTAGAACTATGTTCATAACCACCAAGAATAAATTCCACTTTTGGTCCTACAAGTACCGCACGAATTCCACAATTGGTCCACGTATTTGACTTTGACCACTTCTCGTACGTGGCTATGGTGTTTTCGCCCATATATGGCCCTTCCATCAATGATTCTGATGGTTAAAATCACCAAGAAAGACGTGGACTAAATGAGGAATTGACAAAAAACTCATATGACCAAAAGTGAAATTAATTCTAACGACCAAGTATCAAGCTTATTGAAGATGTTGTATCAAGCATCAAGGATTTAAGCATTGAAGGAACCCTACACAGATTGTTATGCTGCTCGAGGGTTCTATCCAACATTAATTCAGCGATAACATAGCACTCCAGACCATCTACACAATAGCCCAAAATTTGCACGATATGCTCATGCTGAAGGGTCGGGGCTTGTTTGACGTCTTCCTGCGATTTGATGAGCAATCAGAATACCAGATCAGAGAAACCCATAAATACTTAAGATTCCATTATATGTGAGAAAGCGGATAATGTCTAATAGACTGACCAAAAGGGCAGAAGGGTCAGGATAGCTTTTGTACTTATATAGCTTGTCGACAATCCTGCTGCCAGAATACCTGCCCTCGTAGACAGAAGAAACAGGCCTTCTATGGGAGAAATTGTCTGTTGCTTTCTCGAAGTCGGCCCGTCTTTTCTCGCAATAGCTGCGTCTTTTGAAATTGGCGATTTACATTTCTCGATAAACTTTCTGACTTCACGCTTCCATCAAGTTTCATCAGACAGAGTTCCACCATTCGAAGTGCATTCTGAAGAAGGAAAAGTAAGAATCCGAACGAAGAAGAACGTTTTGCAGATCGAGAAAATGACGAGGTCTAAAGGCAAAACAGTTGCAAGGTATTTCATCCGAACGAACTATGTACTTTGCTTTTTGAATTTCAAAATGTATGTTTGAGCATGTAACAATATGATTCATGAGCTAATTTGCTATAAATTTTAACATGCATGTAAGTCACTCTCAAAAACGAAAGAGATTGAGTATTGAATAGTGTGATTTATGTCTTATTGTGATCTCAATTTGAATAAGCAAAGTGTGAATGCTCATATGTCATTGAGCATAATAAGGAAATTGTCTATGTTAAGATGTAACTACAATTTTTGGTAATATAGTGTTGCATGCTTCAATATGTTTGTTATGCCTTAGTATGTCACTGAAACTAATACCAGATTAACTTTATTAACTTTATGTAACTTGTGTATAATAATACATAAATCCTCTGCCTTGGTCTGTGTCTGTAACTAAAACCACATTACATTGTTCTTCTGATTGTGAATGATGTAACTTCTTTCCACTGTTATGTAAATTGTGTGTGACAAGATGTAACTCATGTGCTCCACATTACATTGTTCATCTGATTGTGAATGATGTAACTTCTTTCCACTGTTATGTAAATTGTGTGTGACAAGATGTAACTCATGTGCTCCACATCACATTGTTCATCTGATTGTGAATGATGTAACTTCTTTTCACTGTTATGTAAATTGTGTGTGACAAGATGTAACTCGTGCTCCACATCACATTGTTCATCTGATTGTGAATGATGTAACTTTTTTCACTGTTATGTAAATTGTGCGTGACAAGATGTAACTCATGTGCGTGACAAAGTAATTTTCTTTTCAACATGGCTCACTAAATTGTTTGCGCTTCTTTGTTATGAAGCAGCAGTCAGTCTATGCAATTTTTGACGTGATTTTCACTATGGGTCATCCGAAAACAATCTCTATATGCTATAGTACATGGGTAAGATTGCGCACATCCGACTCCCCCTTACCCCACCATAGGTGAGAGCCTTTGCAGCACTAGGGCAATGATGATGATGAATGTGGATATGACTGTGTTTCAAAATTCAAATTACTTGATATTTATTTCTATTTTGAAGTATATAAACTTTGTAACTTATTATGTAAATGTGAATGTTATCGAGAGTACATTCTTAAAGTGTTTGTGCATGGTGTCACTTCATTTAATAATTATGTAACTTTTGTATGATATGTAACATGGCATGAGGGCAAAATAGATATTCCGATTGTGTATGCCTTATGTATATTTATGTTATGAAGTATAAATGTTGTGATACCTTATTCCGATCCTAAATCTAATGCTCCATATTTATTTCTATTTTTCATGGAAAGATCTATTTGTATTTGGAAAAAATGACATGTATATTACTAACAAAGTTTCCCGAGACAATAAATATGACTAGTTATGTTTTTGGACTAAAATATGACTAGTTAATGTGTATGAGTAACTGAATAATAGTCACTATAGAGTATTTCAAAGTGACAAGTCACTAGTAAATGATAAGTCACTGGATACTAGTCACGGAATAGATCACTTACTTTGAAAAATTTTATCATAAGTCATATTTTTCTTTTGAATTTAATTTAGTAATTTTCATCGGAAAATGCCTTGTATTTGATCCTATATATATACACACACACACACACATATATATGCATATATGTATACACACACACACATATATATACATATATATCCATATATATACATATATATATACATATACATTGGGTGCGACTCCAATGAGAACGATGCTTAATGTGAGAACGTGAGAACACTCACATTTAAATCAATGGGATGCACAATGAAGCTCTTATGTTGCATATAAAATGACTGTGTTTTGTTAAATGAAAAAAATATATGTAAAACTAGAACTAAAACGATATCATCGTTTTGCTAGTACTTTGTATTTGTTTACTCAATTATTTGCTTGTATAGCCGTGTAGGCAGTATTGCAGTATTCATGGAAGGGGTGGGCACAATCCGAAATGTCTGGTGAATTAGCAAAACTCATAATGTACCCCGTATGATGGCACCATGGACCACAATGATGGCCCAAGAAGGAATTAAAATGAAGCCCACCAACGAGACAGCCACTAATTGGGATTAATAACAAATAATAGCCGATGGGCCTAATTAGAAATCTGATCCGCGAAAGGAACCCATAACAAGACTCATCCTAGTGCTTATGTTGAGGGCTATCATTTGAGCATAGCTATCTGATAGCGGTAGGGAATAACGGAAAAAACGTAGACCTAGAGGAACAATGATTGCACCACGTTCGAGACGCTACAGGACTCTTATTATGATTAAATGCATTAAATGTATCATTTTTCTCCTAAAATACTGCTGCAACCTAAGGTCTATAAATACTTCTTGTACACACCCTAAAAGGGATACACATTCTGGAATAATAATACTGCGTTCCGCTGCCTAAATTTTATCTGCTCTCATAGTTGGAATTACACTTCATCATTTGGTCTTCTCGTTGAGAGCCAATTTACGACAACGATGGTTGGATCACACAATCACAACCGTGCAAGCAACAACCAATGTGGTGCTCGAATGGATCAAGTTGTGATAGAAGATGAAGGATCGCATTCACGACGGAGCGATTTTCGGAGAAGGGATGACAACGTGGTGACTCCAGGCAACTTGAGGAACCGTCTGCATGGCGTTGGGAGTTATAGGCACCCTACAACATGCTTGTCGCAGTTCCGTACGCCGGTGACTGGGAATCTCGTTCCAGACATGGATCCTGCACAAGCTTTAGCTAGTTTGGCGACATTCCAGAGGTCCGTGGAAACCTTAACCACCACCTTTCAGGGGATTGTTGCCAACACTAATGAAAGACCTCCTTCCCCTCAGCATGTTCCATATGTGCCCCAACGGGAGGAGGAGGAAGCAGTATCTGCGCGCGACGTCAGATGAATTCACCACCAGCGAGATCCCAGAGGTCTCATCATTCCAGGCAGATCTTGAGGGCTTCAGTGATGGATCGAATTGGAAGACGAAGGGTCTCCATGCATGAAAGGCTCTCCTCCAGGGTGGAATGGGGCGATGAAGCATCTTTCGCAGCCATTTCGTCCCACCGTTGCAGCGCGCATGGGGAGGGGGAACTCAAAATGAGATCCTCAAACATCGGCGAGCCCGCGGAGATCAACCTCCCCACCTCGCATCCAGGCTGGCCAGGATACTGACGATCTTAGGAAGCGTCTCGATGAACTCAGGAGGGTGGTAGATGACCGGGATAATCTCAATCATGGTGTGAGGATTCCTGAGCCGTTTATCCGTCAAATTATGGACGCTCCGTTGCCACAGGGGTACAAGCCTTGCAACATTGAGGCATGCTGAGGAAAGACTGATCCCCAACATCATGTCTCTAGGTACATGGCTTATATGGTGATGATGGGGTACAATGATGCGATTAGATGTAAAGGATTCTCCGTAACCTTGGATGGGCCAGCCCGGGAGTGGTATGACTCCTTACATGATTGGAGATACAAAACTTTCGAGAGCTAGCCCAGGCGTTCATCGCACGATTTGCCAGCTCAAAGGACTCCAAGAAGAATTTCTCTCACCTCCTGGGAGTCGAGCAAGAGCTCTAGGAGACTCTAACCGCCTTCTTAGCACGTTGGAGGGATGAATCGATAAAAGTTGACGGTCTGGATGACATATCTACCGTGGACCGCCAGCGACACTCTGACCGCCTTCACCAATGCCTTGAAGTCGAGGGAGCTACATAAAGAGTTCGTGCGACAGTCCCCGACCTCACAAGAGGAAGCCCTGCGACGAGCCGACCGGCAGGTAGAGGAAGCGGAAAAGCGAAAGAGAGATGGATAGCACCACGCTGACGAAAGAGAGAAGAAGAAAATGGATACTGACTATCAAAGTTAATTAATACCATTCCAAAAGAAGAATCTCATTCCAACTTGATTACTTTTCACGAAATGTCACCCCCGCCCAAAAAACGAACATGTCTCATGTTTTATTCTCTCTCAATAAACTCTGAATCCCACAAACATACCACCATTTACAAACAGACAACACATATATTATATTGTTCTGTGCTTTTGTCCAACCGATAGAAGGCATGTTTATCTCAACAATTATACCCACCCAACCATCCAACACCGGATCCGGGTTTATACGCCTTCATTACTTAATAACATGTTAACTGTTTCTTCGAAATTGAAACAGTGCTTAATAACATGTTTAACTTCAAATGTGTGTCTTTATTTACACGATAAACAAAATTAAAAGAAAATCTATGAAAGTGGTCATGTAAAAAAGGAATCGAGTGAATCGCTAGATAAGCATTGTTAACCTCATCTGTAAATTCCGCTATGAAACTGCTACGGTTTCAAGAATCCATCTTCCCAATCAATCTGAGGAGTAGTTGCGCACAGCCAATAAAGAAAAGGAAAAAGGTTCATTAAACAATCATAAATATGCCTGTGGGAAATACCACCAACATACTCCTTAAAAAATTAAAGTGTATGTCAATATAGTAGGCTGTAGGCTAAGATTTTATAAGTACTAGTTCAAAACTAAGATAGTTTTTACCAAGATAGTTGTATCTACCCATATCAATCAACTGTAGAACATGAAGAATGAAAAATACAAAGTACATACCTGAAGCCATTGATATTCACGTATGTGTTCAGTGACGTTTCTAAGTAGTCTCATCAAGTCCACAAATCTATCTCCCGTGTACAATCTAAATCTGCCTTCTTCTATTTCTTCAATGATATCACTTGGAAATTTAGATTTTTAATCTTTTGAAAAAAAATTGCTCTTAAATGATTCGAGTTTAACACGCAACAAGGAGTTCCAGAAAAGTCTTCCATATAAGAACTTAAAGCTAATATAAAATGTACCTGGCCCACCTTTGATAAGAAATATTTATGGTCAAGAAGATCTTACGGCTTAAATTCACTCTTATGATACAAGTCTCATGCTCTAATGGTTAACTGCTTACAATGTCTTCTTCATCTTTAAATAATTCAGCTCTTCCTTTCTCTAAAGCACTACATTCTTTGATAATTTCGATCAAATGTTGAATATCATGCCCGTGCATCACCTTGTACATGTTGTGATCCTCGAACCACTTACATCGTCGCGAATTCTTTACTTTCGCGAATTACATATGACTCGCGCTGTATAACGACTTCGTACAAACTAATCTTTTGGATCCAATGTTGTTTACTTAAATGTTGTACACAAGACTTTCTAAGTGGATTTGATCAATTTCTAATATAACATCATTAATAACGCCGCGGTATGCATCACGAGATATTATGTTTTGACTGTTTGTAGACTTCTGAATATGGTTTTCACAACATCTTCCCTTAGAAGGTGTTGTGAATATAAGTATTGCACGTATTGAGGAGAGAAGTAGTTGGCGTAAAGTTCCGAGATTAGGAAATGATGATGTTTGGGTTTTCGTTATTTCATCCATAATTTGATGAGATTGGTACCTAGATGTATCTCTTTGATAGTTTCATATCAAATTAAATATTACTAAGTTTTAAGTTTTAACTTGTGAAAGAGGAAAGAACTCAAAGGTTACTCTAGATTGTGATTCACTCTTGGTGCTTGACACGATATGAAAAGAAAAATCATGATGTCTCTTATAAATGATTTATATGCCAATTAATAGTAGATCAGTTTAATGATTGATATATATCTGATTTTAATCTATAGTAATATTTAATTTGATAGGAAAATAATATCAAAGAGATACATTTAGGTATCAATCTTATCAAATGAAGGATGAAGTAACTAAAAACCCAAGCATCATCATTTCCTAATCTCGGAACTTTACGTCAACTACTCTCTCCTGAATACGTGTCATACTTATATTCACAACACCTTCTAAGGGAAGATGAGGTTCAGAAGTCCACAAACAGTCAAAACATACTATCTCGTGATGCATAACGCGGCGTTATTAAAGATGTTATGTTAGAAATTGATCAAATCCACTCAGAAAGTCTTGTGTACAACATTCAACATTTAAGTAAACAACACTGGATCCAAAAGATTAATTTTGGACGAAGTCGTTATACGGCGCGAGTCATATGTAATTCGCGGAAGTCTAAAGAATTCCAACGATGTAAGTGATTCGAGGATCACAACATGTACAAGGTGATGTGCGGACATGATATTCAACATTTCATTGAATTTATCAAAGAATGTAGTGCTTTAGAAAAAGGAAGAGCTTAACTATTTTAAGATGAAGAAGACATTGTAAAGCATTTAACCATGAGAGCATGGGACTTGTATCATAAGAGTGAAGTTAAGCTGGAAGATTTTTTTGACCATAAATACTTCTTATCAAAGGTGGGTTGGGTACATTTTATATCAGCTTTAAGTTCTTATATGGAAGACTTCTCTGGAACTCCTTGTTTGTTGCGTGTTAAACTCGAATCGTTTAAGAGTAAAGTACTTTCAAAAGATTGGAAATCTAAATTTCCAAGTGACATCATTGAAAATTAAAAGAAGGCAGATGCAGACAGTACACGGGAGATAGATTAGTGGACTTGATGAGACTATTTAGAAATGTCACCGAACACATACGTGAATATCAATGACTTCAGGTATGTACTTTTCATATTCAAACAGTTGATTGATATGAGTAGATACAATCATCTTCATAAATACTATTGTTGATATTAGTTTTTGAAGTAGTACTTCAAAAATCTTAGCCTACTAAATACAACAGATATTGACATACACTTTAATTTTTTCAGAAGTATGTCGGTGGTATTTCTCACAAGCATATTTATGACTGTTTATGAACTTTTTTGCTTCTCTTTATTGGCTGTGCACAACTACTCTTAATCAGATTGATCAGGAAGATGGATTTTTGAAACCGTACCAGTTTAATAGCAGAATTTACAGATAAGGTTAACAATGTTTATCAATTCACTCGGTTCCTTTTTTACATGATCACTTTCATACATTTTCTTTTAATTTTGTTTATCGTGTAAATAAAGACACATTTGAAGTTAAACATGTTACTCCGTATTAAGTACTGCTTCAATTTCGAAGAAACAGTTAACATGTTATTAAGTGATGAAGGCGTATAAACCCGGATCCGGTGTTGGTAGAACTATGTTCATAACCACCAAGAATAAATTCCACTTTTGGTCCTACAAGTACCGCACGAATTCCACAATTGGTCCACGTATTTGACTTTGACCACTTCTCGTGCATGGCTATGGTGTTTTCGCCCATATATGGCCCTTCCATCAATGATTCTGATGGTTAAAATCGCCGGAAAAGGACCACAAATGGTCAAAAACATTAGTCGAGTACCAAAAGTGGATGAAGTGAAAGACGTGGACTAAATGAGGAATTGACAAAAAACTCATATGACCAAAAGTGAAATTAATTCTAACGACCAAGTATCAAGCTTATTGAAGATGTTGTACCAAGCATCAAGGATTTAAGCATTGAAGGAACCCTACACAGATTGGTATGCTGCTCGAGGGTTCTATCCAACATTAATTTAGCGATAACATAGCACTCCAGACCATCTACACAATAGCCCAAAATTTGTAGGATATGCTCGTGCTGAAGGATTGAGGCTTGTTTGACGTCTTCCTGCGATTTGATGAGCAATCAGAATATCAGATCAGAGAAACCCATAAATACTTAAGATTCCATTATATGTGAGAAAGCGGATAATGTCTAATAGACTGACCAAAAAGGCAGAAGGGTCAGGATAGCTTTTGTACTTATATAGCTTGATGACAATCCTGCTGCCAGAATACCTGCCCTCGTAGACAGAAGAAACAGGCCTTCTATGGGAGAAATTGTCTGTTGCTTTCTTCAATTCTTCAATGCTGAACTGCATAAACAACTTCATATGCGATTGACAGAAAAAAGTCAATCAATATGTTGTTCAAAATTCAAATCCGCCCAATCTCAGTAAGAACCTTGTTTTTTGGAAATTTTTTGCTGACACATTCATATGAATGAAATATTTTTCCTAGGGAATCATATATTTAAAAATTAGGTGATCGTGGTTAGGAAAAATTGAATATTTGTTTTATATACCTTGCAAAATGTACTGAAAACGTTGTTATAAAAAGTAAGAAAACAAATCATTAAAATAGTGTTAAACAATCAACTCGAGTTCAGTATGTCAGATTAAATTTTAGGATGACCGTTAAGAGACACGATAGAAACTATCAAGCATCTTTTAAGAGCTAAAATCATTACTTTCTTGTTTGTTGATTGGAGATCAGGTGGTGCAGTTAAGCTTTGCGCTTCATCAAACTCTGATCGAGGCATAGGTGAAGGGACTTGCTTTGGCGGACGTTTCAAATTTTGACTATCAGAATAAACCGATGTTGAAGGATGTCTCTGAGGTGCGTTCCACTCTGGATGAGGCCCGGAGGGCAGAGCAGGTCCCGACAACGAAGACCTCGCAGGCGGACATGGTCGTCGATGCACCGGATCTTCAGATGGAGGCGGCATGGGTCTCGGTACTCGAGGACTATTCGCTTCTGGTGGACCATATCTCATCATCGTTGACACTTGACACGAGTAATGCATAAACAAACAAGGTCTTATCTATATATATATATATATATAAACGGAAAAGTGTGGGGGGGAAGTTTGGGAGGGAATTTGGGCGGGATTAGCTCAATACGTTTGAAATGTTATATTGGTCATCTAAAGGATTAGCAAACAATGCAGTAATTATGACGGCTTGAGGCTGTTTATCTTCTCCATGAAAAGGTGTGTATGAAAGAATGTGTTTCACGTTGCTCAACATTTATGCATTGAATGTGCTCACATTGTTCAACATGTGGACATTTAATGCTTGCTACCAAAATGTGGCTTTTCATATTCTAGCATAAAGCTACCAGAATCTTTCTACTATAAATACGAGCTAACTTTTCTACTCCTCTACTAACATACCTCGTATAACGAAGCTGGCCAAACTGTTCACCCACAACAAAGCCCTGAGATCAACAGTTCTGTACAGCCTTGCTTATACAAATAATTAGGGGTTCCACCTTTTTACAACTTCATCATTGCTTGCAGCCCAAAGAAATGGCTACATAGAAGCAAAACATGAAATCAACATTTTTGTAGGACAGTATAGAAACTTTAGATCTTTGCCTAACACAAACCATGATATTATTGTTCTCATAGTTATTGTAAGAAATCTGATTTCTACACATGATTGGTGTTTAGATGTCCCAACTTTTGGTTTGTAGATTACTTCTTCATACATGGATTGGGCATTAAGGTAAAATACACATGAAATCTATCACAGGTAAAGGTAAAATAAGATTCATACATTTAAACTTATAGAACTACTTTAATAATTTCAAATGTTTGTTTGTTATTATCAAAAACTATTACGGTGTCAACTCGTGAATTGCTCTCTTATCGTCAAACACTTTTTCTTTAGTTCAAACATACCGTTCTCATGAAAATTGTAGTTTAAACATATAAGAAACTAAAATGCGGAATGTATAAATCACATGCAGAATGTATAAATCACATTGAATATTCGAATGTAGAAATCACAATAAATCCCAATAATCTTTTATTTTGTTGTTGTATTAAAGATTAATAATATCTCATTCTAAATTTTTATGTGCACATGACCGTACATATCACTCTAAATTTCACTGTTTTTTTCTTCCGCACAAGTGTGATATAATTAGCAATAAATCACCATTAATGTGAATTAGATTAAGCAGCATTAATAAATATCTAGATAAGTGGTTAAAATAATGCAATATGACGATTTTACATTCCTTCGGTGTTTTTCTCAAATACTCCGTAAGACGCTTATTGAACCACACTCTTTCTTTTGTCCTACTAATAAACCAGAGAAGAACTATCCAAATTAACTCCCAAACAAAGCAAAAAACATTACAGTCCTATCAAAACTCAATACCACAGTCTTAGTAATTGCATATATACCTCTTTGTGTTCTAAAAAATAAAAAATAAAATAGGGTTAATTATTTAAAGTTGATTCATTATGATCGAGTATGATGTAGTAATTAATCTTTTATTAAAAAACGGTAGTCACTTTATGAGCATCAACTTTGGTGTCAAAACCAAATAAGTAAAAATAAAAACAAAAGGCACAATAGAGAAGAATCTGTGTCAAAAACTAACAAAGATGTATAGTATCTTTATCTAGAAAAAAGGTTTCAAATTAATTTCAGTTTGATCATGTCGTAATATCAAACAAGGTTTCAAATTAATTTCAGTTTGTTCATAATTTCCAAGTTAGAGTTGAGTTCTAATAAAAATTTAGCCAACATGTTAGCTTTAGGAAGGATTTGTGGCATTGTTGTTTTTGAATTGAAGTAAAAAAACAATCTTTCAGCATATCCCACATGCACATACGAAATTATGTAAAACAAAGTAAACAATTTTGAATCATGCGTGCATATAACAGAAATGCAAAACTTTCCTTATTTTTAAAAACTCCACACCACCATTCTCTTCTCTCTAGCTATTATCTATTTTTGGGTTTGTATTCAGAAGAGAAATGTATTTCAAGAAAAAACTTCATTGAGATGCTTCCTTCATCCCTTTGTTAATATATTCCATGTCCCCATTAATATGCTTAAAACGAATTTCTGATATCTATCCTATGATGCTCACAATGCAAATTCAACAATAATTACTCATTAAATGTGTGTATAAGTGTTTGGGGTAAAATCTGTAATAAATACGGAGTATAAATTTGGATATACGAAATAGTTGGATAATCATCACAGTTTATTTTTCACGAATCAATTCTTGTGTAATATGTTTTCTGAAGCAGCACGTTTAGATGCAAGCATTCACATAATTAACAAGCAATTCCGGATCATATTACTCAAAGAATCACAATTTTTGAGTTCTTATGTAATAAAATATAAATTTGAACGGAATTTTTTTCAAGCAAATGAATATGAAGTGTACGAACTAAATACATCTTTTTAACTGAAAAAGAAAGTACATTAAAGTACTTCAGAATTGCATGAAAAAGAAATTAATTAAAGTCATTAAAATCTAGAACTTACCTATGAAAACTTTGTTGACGATTGGGCGTAGTAAAGGTGCCGAGAGTCGTCGAAGGCGTCGAATGTATATGATGACCGGTTGTGGGTGAGGACTACACAATGGCGATCGGTCTATTAGCTTAATGGTGGCGACCGGCGAACATAGAGGGTGCAAGTGATGCCAAAAGAAGATGGAAAATGATGATCGGTTGACGCAGGGGCGAGTGCCAATGGCTATGGTTGTGGTCGACGAAGATGTTGAGGCGGGTGTTGGTGAGACGATTACAGCGTACAGATGCGGAGGTGAGGCGGTGGCTTTTGGGATGAGAATGTTACGCTAGGTTGGCGAAGGAAATTTGGGTTTGGCGAATGTTACGCTACATGGCTTTGGATTGTGGACTTTTGGGCTGCATTTTGGTCTCGATCCGTCAATTATTAAAAAATATTTTAAATAAAATATGGGTAGTATAGATATGAAACACATTCTCGTTAGATTAGAGTAAATTCAAGTAATAAATCAATGCTGTTGGGATAATGGGACGGGTCCAAGACTATCGGCCCATTACACCCGAGCTTTGGCTCGACCAAGCTAGGGGTGAACAAAAAAACCGAAAAACCGAAACCGACCGAAATCGAACCGATAAAACCGACTAAATTTAACCGAGGGAAAACCCGACAGTTTCGGTCGGTTAACCGAACCGACTACTGTTTAAATCGGTCGGCCATCGGTTTTGCATAAAAAAAATCGGTTCAAAACCGACCGACCGACAAGCTATTTACGTAGAACTAAAATACATGGCCCATTAGTAATGTTTTAATTTTAATACACAAATACACGTCAACAAGGGTGAGTTAGAGTTCCAGACCGACTCATTTCTCTCGTTCGTCATCAAGCCCTAGTTTTGGGAGCTCAGACCAAGAGATGGCGTCGCCTCTGCGAATTACAGAGAACGAACAGGCGGAACAGGGGAATTCACCGGAGAAGTCTATTGACGAGGTTAGTAAATCAGTATGATAATTTCTAATACACCTCCTTGGATATATTTACTTCCTTCCCAATCTCTTGCGCCTATTTTATACACAAACATAAATTAATTGGATAGGCTTATATTAAGAGTAGCCAATGCAGAATAACTTAACTTGAGCTATATTCTAAATGTGCGCAGCTAAACTTGCTAGCTAGTGCTGAAGAAACATGAGGGGTAGTGGCCTAGTGGGTAGTGGGTACTATACACAGAATGCTTGACCTCAATGTATCTTCTTTTTCATAGTTTGAACTTTGAAGTAATTGATGAAAATGGCTTAAAATGTGTGTATCTGCCTACGTTTTTTTATCTTGTGATATTAATTCATAGTTTAAAATGATATTCTTGCTTGAATGTTGAACCATTCTTCTCTGTAAAGTAATACCAAACAAAGGAAAGTGATTCACCATTTGGAACCTTATTACTTGTAAACTGTTTGATAAAATTCTTAAATGAATTATAAGAACTTAGTTATCTCTTAGTCTCTTACAGTCTTAGGTTTGAATATATTAAAGTGAATTTACAGACAAATAAACAATTGTTTCTACTTTCTATCATTAGTTCTGTAGTTCATTACATCCTATCGTGTTATTTAGTGTTTACATTTTTGAAGTAGCACTTGTGGCCTTTATGTTGCCATTCCTTTCCATAACTTTTAATACTAAACTGTTGTCCGATTAGATGTCTTCGCAGGACGAAACATCTCAAGCTACTGCTCAAACCGCATCCACGGTGGAAAAGGGTAAAACGAAACAGCCAGTGAAAAGACGTGGTCATAAAGAGAGTGAAGTCTGGAATCATTTTGTATTAGATGGTACTTGTCCACCAGAGGCACCAAGAGCAATATGCAATTATTGTGCTGCTAGTTATGCTTGTCATTCAAAGAATAATGGAACTTCGTCCATGAACAACCATACGGCGAAATGTGTGAATTGGCCAACCGATGACAGAAAACAGAAGACCATTCATTTTAAAAGGAAAGGTCAGGGAGGGGTTGGTGATCAAGAAAATGGTGCAACAATGGGGCTGCAACTATTTACTAAAGAAGGTTGGCGAAGAGCTCTTATGGAGTATGTTATCTTAGATGAGCAGCCTTGGTGTTGCGTAGAGGGAAAGGGCTTTAGGCGTCTGGTACATTATCTCAACCCGAGAGCAGTCATTCCTTCTAGAATTACAGTAGCTAGAGACTGCTATCAGTTGTATTTGGATGAGAAAAAATAGTTGAAGAAAATTTTAGAAATGCAGAGAATGTGTTTAACGACTGATTGTTGGACTTCGATTCAAAATATCAATTACATGTGTTTAACTGCACATTGGGTTGATGAAACATGGAGATTGCAGAAAAGGATTATCAACTTTATCCAAGTTGATAATCACAAAGGAGAGACAGTAACACGAGAAATACTTGCTTGTTTGAATGATTGGGGAATTACTAAGATATTCACCATCACAGTTGACAATGCATCATCAAATGATGTCGCTATAGCCAAGTTGAAGAGGAAAGTCAAGGACATTCCACGGTTTCTTGTTCTTGATGGTGAAACTCTTCACATGAGATGTGTATGCCACATCTTAAATCTGATTGTGGGTGATGGCATGAAGGAGTTGAAACAATATGTTGCTAGTATTCGCAATGCAACCCGATTTGTGAGATCTTCGGCGCATAGGCTCAAACAGTTTAAAGACACAGTTGTGGAAGAAAACATCAAATCAACTGCCCTTTTGTGCTTGGATGTGCCAACAAGATGGAACTCTACTTTCCTAATGTTAGACACAAGTTTGAAGTTTATCCCTGTGTTTGAAAGGATGTCTATTGATCAAAACTATAAAGCTTACTTCGAGGAAGTAGATAGTAGGGGGGAAAAGTTGTAGGACCTCCATCCGATAATGATTGGGATAAAGCAAAGGTGTTTGTGAAGTTTTTAAGGCGATTCTACGTTCTGACAAAGAAGTTTAGTGGTTCATATTACGTGACCTCAAACTTCTATTTTCAAGACATTTCCAAGGTTAAGCGTGAATTGAAGGCCTTAGGGTTAGGTACTGATGAACTTTTAAAGAAGATGGCAACGATGATGGGTCTCAAATTTGTCAAGTATTGGGGTAACCCAGATAAGATGAATTACATGATGTTTCTTGGTTTGGTTCTGGATCCTAGGTACAAGATGGAATATGTCAATTATTGTCTCAAGTGTATCTATGATGAAAAAACAAGTTTGATTTTGTCAAAAGGTATCGACTCAACACTCCGGAGATTGTACAAGCAGTATCATGATTGGGCTCCACCACCACCTCTGGCTCCACGTCATGTTGTCCCTAGGTTTACAGATATTTCAGTCCCATTAGCGGGAGGTAGGGGAAAGAAAGCTAAACTTCCAGAAACTGCAAACACAAACGTTGGTTCTGTGTTATCAGCTCGTTCTACAGTCACTTTTGATGATTCAACACTTTTATTAGGAATAGAGGATATGGATCGGGAATATCTTAGTTCCAGGAGCAGTGCTGCGAGTTTAAACCTTAATGATGTTGACAGATACTTGACTGATAGATGCGAGCCCATTACAGGAAATGAAGATGGAGCAGTGGGGAGTGAAACATTTGATATTCTTGTTTGGTGGAAAGAGAACTCGGGTAGATATAAGATCTTGTCTCAGGTTGCTAGAAACGTGCTTGTTGTTCCCGTATCTACTGTTGCATCTGAGTCTGCCTTCTCCACGGGACGTAGGGTACTTGATTCTTTCAGAAGTTCATTAGCACCTAGAGTCGTTGAATCTCTAATTTGTTCGAAGAATTGGTTGAATGCCAAAGATAATGAATATGATATTGTGGTCTTAAAGCAATATATGGATGAAGTTGAAGCATTTGAAGACTGTTATGAAGTTGTTACAGGTCATTAAATGCATTTTTGCTATATATAGATATATGTATATGGAATAACGATCAAATAAGAACAGTGCTTAACGTGAGAATGTGGGAACATCATATTTACCCCAACGTGTTGCACAATGAAGCTTGTATATTGCACTTTTTGCGTTTATCACAATATTTACCAAAATGCACCCGTCTTTATTTATATAGGCTTAATTTGAGCAAATTGAAAATATGCAACATAAGAGCTTCATTGTGCATCCCATTGATTTAAATGTGAGTGTTCTCACGTTCTCACGTTAAGCATCGTTCTCATTGGAGCCGCACCCTATGTATATGTATATATATGTGTGTGTGTGTGTGTGTATATATGTATGTATATATATGTGTTGGGATAATGGGACGGGTCCAAGACTATCGGCCCATTACACCCGAGCTTTGGCTCGACCAAGCTCACATCATAGTCCGGCTAGCGGATATTGGCCCGAGATTATTCAATTACTTATTGGGCTTGCTGGCCCATTAGCGTTAGTAATAGTAGATTAATCGGGCCAGACCCACGTAACACTTAATTGGTGGGCATATTGTATACGTCTATAAATAGGCCATCAACCCCTTGTATTCTGCTAAGTTATTCTCACTATACTGAAATGCTGCTGAATTCTCTACCCGGGTTATTTTCTACCAACATTGGTGCTTTCATTGAGAGCTAGCTAATCTCTCATTTTTTTCCGGTAGAATTTGAAGAGATAGATTGGCAAAAAACGAGTGAGATTCCTCCAAAAACTATACAAAATTTGACCAAAAATTCAGAAATTTGAGCAAGAATAAGTCTGAATATCATAGTTGGATAAAAAAAGACAACATTTGACTAGTCAAACAACAGTGCTCCCGTACGCCCGTGCTCCCGTACGCCCGTGCTCCCGTGCTCCTACGCGCGGAGAATGATAGATTGAAGATGAAGATGTCACATATCTTCTATGGCCCGGGTGGTCGGCTGTGACTCACCGACGTGCAGCCATACACCTTGAGCATGACTAGTCGAAGAAATCCAGGTCAACCCCGAGAGACCGGAATGGAAGGTCAACTTAGGTGCAAGACTCACGACCGAGTGCAGAGCACCTTGCCAAATCCTATGAGCGGAGCACCGCAAGCTTGTTGATCAAGTACAAAGTGCATGGCACCTTAGCAAAATTTAGGAGCGGAGCATTGCACGCTTGTTGATCAAGAATGTAGCGTAGGGCACCTTGTCAAATTCTATGAGCGGAGCACTGTAAGCTCGCAGATCAAATGCTGAGCGCCGGGCACCTTTTCTAATCTTGTGAGCGGGGCACCGCAAGCTCGTTGATCAAGTGTGGATTGCAGATCAGCTCTCTCTCATTCTATGAGTCCATCATCACAAATTGTAAATCAAGTGTAGAACTCGAGGCAACTCCTCAAGTTCTCAAATTCTTTTATTACTTAA